AGCCATCAGTATCAAGGCAGGACCCTCTACCAACAAAATGATTATAACTCTCTGAAAGCTCAGGTGATGGTTAACATTTTTAGCAATAAAATATTTTTAAGTTAAGGTATGTACATTGTTTTCTAGTCATAATGCTATTGCACGGTTAGTAGACAACAGTATAGTATAAACAGAACTTTATATGCACTGGAAAACTAAAAGTTTTATTTGACTGACTTATTGCAATATTAGCTTTATTGTGATGGCCTAAAATTGAACCTGCAATATCTCAGAGGTATGACTGTACAAGTCTTTCACCTCCTTTGTTAAATTTATTCATAGGTATTTTATTCTTTTTGATGTAACTGTAAATGGGATTATTTTCTTAATTTCTCTTTCTGATAGCTCATTATTAGTATATAGAAATACAACTTATTTCTGTATGTTAATTTTGTATTCTGTGACCTTACTGAATTCATCCTAATAGTTTTTTGGTGGAGTCTTTAGGGTTTTCTATATATAGGATCATGTTATCTGCAAATGACACTTCTTTTCAATTTGGATGCCTTTTATTTCTTTTTCTTGCCTAATTGCTGTGGCTAGAACTTCTTGAATAACAGTGATGAGAGTGAGTACTTTTGTTTCTGATTTTAGAGGAAAAGCTTTCAGCCTTTCACTGTTGAGTATGATATTAGCTAGGGGTTTGTCATATATGACCTTTATTATGTTGAGGTATGTTTCTTTTATACTCACTTTGTTGAGAGTTTTTATCATAAATGATGTTGAATTTTTGTCAAATGCTGTTTCTGTATAAAGATCATTATATGATTTTTGTTTTGTTAATGTGGTGTAATATGTTGATTGATTTACGGATGTTGAACCCTCGCATCCGTGGAACAAATCTCACTTAATAATGGCATCTGATCCTCTTCATGTACTGTTGAATTTCATTTGCTAATATTTTGTTGAGGATTTTTGTATCTATGTTCATTGGGGATATTGGCCTGTTATATTCTCTCTCCTTTTTTCTTTCTTTCTGTTTGGTTTTGATAGGGTACTGTTGGCCCTGTAAAATGAGTTTGGAAGTGTTTCTTCCTCTTTAATGTTTTGGAATAATTTGAGAAGGATAATTACCAACTCTTTATTTTTTTATTATTATTATTTTTTTATTAATTTTATTTTACTATGTTAGTCACCATACATTACATCATTAGTTTTTGATGTAGTGTTCCATGATTCATTGTTTGCGTATAACACCCAGTGTTCCATGCAATACGTGCCCTCCTTAATACCCATCACCGGGCTAACCCATCCCCTACCCCCCTCCCCTCTAAAACCCTCAGTTTGTTTCTCAGAGTCCATAGTCTCTCATGGTTCATCTGCCCTTCCGATTTACCCCCCTTCATATTTCCCTTCCTACTATCTTCTTTTTTTTTTTTTTTAACATATAATGTATTATTTGTTTCAGAGGTACAGGTCTGTAATTCATCAGTCTTACATAATTCACAGCATAGCACACACCCTCCCCAGTGTCCATCACCCAGCTCCCCCATCCTCCCACCCCACACCACTCCAGCAACTCTCAGTTTGTTTCCTGAGATTAAGAGTCTCTTATGGTTTGTCTCCCTCTCTGGTTTCATCTTGTTTCATTTTTTCCTCCCTTCCCCTGTGATCCTGTCTTGTTTCTCAAATTTCTCGTATCAGTGAGATCATATGATACTTGTCTCTGATTGACTTATTTCGCTTAGCATATTACCCTCTAGTTCCATCCACATTGTTGCAAATGGCAAGATTTCTTTTTTTTTTGTGTGTGTATTATTTTCTTTTATATATATACACCTCATCTTCTTTATCCATTCATCTGTTGATGGACATCTTGGCTGTTTCCATAGTTTGGCTGTTGTGGACATTGCTGCTATAAACATTGGGGTGCACGTACCCCTTCAGATCACTACATTTGTATCTTTGGATTACCAACTCTTTAAATGATTAGTAGAATTCACCTGTGAAACTGTCTGGTCCTGGACTTTTGTTTGGGGGAAGTTTTTAAATTACTGATTCAGTTTCATTACTTGTAATCATTCTGTTCAGATTTCCCATTTCTTTGTGGTTTGATCTTAGAAAGTTGTTTTTTTTCTAGGAATTTATCCATTTCTTCTAGGTTTTTCAGTTTGTTGGCCTATTATTATTTGTAGTAATCTCTTATATCCTTTGTATTTCTGTGGTGCCAGTTGTAACTTCTGCATTTCTGATTTTGTTTATTTGGGTTGTCTCTTTTTTTCCTGATGAGTCTGGTGAGAGGTTTATTGATTTTATCTTTTCAAAAAACCAGCTTTTAGTTTCACTGTTCTTTTCTAATTTTCTTTTTTTAAGTCTCTCATTTATTTCTACTCTGATCTTTATTATTTCCTTCCTTCTACTAACTTTGGGCTTTGTTCTTCTTTTTTTAGAGTCTTTAGATGTAAAGTTAGTTTGTTTATTTGGACTTTTCTTATTTCTTGAAGTAGTCCTGTATTGCCATGAACTTCCTTCTTAGAACTGCTTTTGCTGCATCCAATAGATTTTGGGAAGTTGTATTTCCATTTTCATTTATCCCAAGGGTCATTTATCCCAAGTTGTTCCCCTCCCCCTTCACATTTCTAAGCACTTTTTTCCCCCTGTCTTTTTATTATTCAAGTGCATAACATGTAGTGTTATATTAGTTTCAGGTGTATAATATAGTGATTCAACAGTTCTGTGCATTTCTCAGTGTTCATCAAGGTAAGTGTACTCTTCCCCTTTATCGAACCCATCCCCCAGACTACTTAAGAGTCTTTTTTTTCTTAGTTTGGCTCTTTTTTTTCTTGTTCATTTGTTTCCTAAATTCCACATATGAATGAAATCATATGATACTTGTCTTCCTTTGACTTATTTCACTCAGCATTATGCCCTCTAGTTCCATCCCTGTTGGCAAGATTATACTTAAATTTTTTTCTTCGATTTCTTTGTCTACCTATTGTTTGTTTATAATCAACATTTTAAAATGAAGTAGGATAAGGATTAACAATTAGAACAACTTTTGATATGGATTTGTTAAAAGAGGGGATAAATTGTTATACTGAATAATGTATAGAGAAGTCACAAATATTTTTTCTGTAGTTTGGATCCAGTATAACTTAAACATTTTGCTCATCTGGAAAACATTCCAGGGGCGCCTGGGTGGCTCAGTCGTTAAGCGTCTGCTTTCGGCTCAGGTCATGATCCCAGGGTCCTGTGATCGAGCCCCGCACTGGGCTCCCTGCTCAGGAGGAAGCCTGCTTTTCCTTCTCCCACTCCCCCTGCTTGTGTTCCCTCTCTCGCTGTGTCTCTCTCTGTCCAAATAAATAAATACAATCTTTAAAAATAAAAAAAAATTTTAAAAATTAAAAAAAAGAAAACATTCCAGTTACATTTGAAGAGTCACTTCACTGGCCTTATAAACAGATTATGGAGGGTATTCGCTTTTGACTGAATATTTTCGAATTTTATCTGACATATAAGTAGTTATATGCTGTGGTTTTAAATTCTCTAAGTTAAAAGCAAAGTTATTTAATGGCTAGCATTTATTGTGTTCTTACTTAATGTTGGTACTTACCTGGACACTATATGTTCTCTCTAATCTAATTCTTACAACAATGCTAAGAGGTAAGTACTGCTTTAATCTTCATTTTACTGATGAGAAAATTGAGTTTCAGAAAATATTTTGCTCAAGCCAACCCAAGAGCGGGCAAGCATTAAATCCAGAATTAATACCTAGGCAGTCTGCCTTCAAACATTTATTACTAAGCACAGTGCTGTGCTACGTCCCAAGGTTGTGCTGTCCTGTTCTTCATCTTGATAGAGGAATGAATTCCAATGTCATGTATTTTATGGTGTGATCAGATATGTATGATATGCAAGAAAATTATTAGACATTTTCAAGTGCTTTGCAAAAACACTGAATTATTTGTGATACTTAAATGGATCCTATTTTCTTTAAGAAAAAGCAACTGTCAAAGGGAAATTCTGAAATGGCCTTTAGTTATTAAGTAATTGAAAATATAGGATATTTATTAAAATCATTTATTTTTCTTAATCTTTGTTTCTAATTGGGAGAAATGAGAGATCATGAATGGATTTTCTAAGTTACATTGTTTGAGGAAATGACTGAACAATATAGGGAAACTTGGAGATCTGTTTGTTGTAATAGTAATTACAGCAACAAATAGGAGCTGACGTTCATTGCATTCCAGTTATGTACTGGGTGCTCCTCTAAGCACTTTATATGTTAATACATACTGTTTAATCCTTACAAGAATGCCATGAGGCAGGCAAAATTATCCCCACTTTATAGTTTTTAGATTTTTTTAGAATGATTTTAAATAGGCTGATTTTATTTAAACAATTAGTGTTTTTTTGTTTTTTTCTTTTAGTAGCAAATGATGAATGTATAATTGCAGCAAATATATTCATATTATTCCTTAACTGATGCTTTTTACCGTACTGTCCCCTGTTACCACACAGCTGGCTGCTTTGTCATTCAGTATACAAGGCCACAGGCCTCATCAGCTCACCTTTTTTTCTGGCTGTTACATACTGACCCTTATTTGATACACCCTGGCTTTCAACTCCAATTATATTTCCTTCCTAAAGTTCAGTCTGTTCCAAGTATTATAATCACTTCCTCTTTCATGTCACTGCCAAGTCCTCTGTTCAGTGTCCCATGTTTCCTGCTCATATAAAATCCTTAACTGAGGAATTAGTTTTTTCTTAACTCTCTGCCTGTCAGTTTTTACATGTGAATCAATAGGAATATCTTCTAAATCCCTCTTATATATTCACTACATGTATATAGCAGTTTCATCCTTGCCGTTAGTTTCAGTGCTTATATATGTCTGATGGTGCACAAGAGATTAAAAGAAGTTATTAGCCTTCTGCAATTTAAATCAAATCTGTCTTTTATCATAGGGAGAAAAATTTTACTGTATTTCTTTCTTCAGTGTTTCTTTCTTACAATTTTTTAGGTCTTATGGCAATTGGATATATTCCGAAGAAGCTTGCGGGTTCTAACTGGACATGTTTGTCAGGGAGATGCCTGCATATTTTGTGCATTGAAGGTAACCTTTTAATAGTACTGAAAAATTACTATTAATTGTTTTGCCAAAAATTTAATTTTGATAGTTGGATCAGTTTACTTGAAGTTAAAATTCATTGTCAAGTGACTTAGAGCTTTGAGGTGAATTCTTAAAGTATGATTTATTCAAGTTTATGGATTTTTTCCCACTTTTATGTAAGGACAGTTAAAATTAATATTCTAAATAGTGTAGGAACATTACATTTTTCGTTATTTTGGAAAAATTTTTATTCATTTTATGAAATGGATTTTGAACTACTACTGGATTTTGTGCACTGCTGTAGTTACTGATGATACAGCAGTGAACAAGGTGATAAAACCTCTGTTCTCATGGAGCTTACGTTCTTTTAGGGGAGGAGAAAATAAGTAAGCAACATATAAAGTATGTTAGATGGTAATAACTACAAAGGGGGAAAATAAATCAGGGAAAGGGAATAGTGTTGAATAGTCAGGAAAGCCTCACTGGGACAGTTTCAACCATTACCTGGAAAAGGTGATAGAGTGAAGCTTTCCAGGCAAACAGGGAAACAGTAACTGCAAAGGCCCTGAGGTGAGTATGAGTGATTCAAGGAAACCTGGGTGTCAAAAGCTTTGTGAGCAAGTGGGAGAGTGATAAGAGGTGAGCTCAGAAGTAAGGTGAGTTGTGGTGATTTTAAAACATGTCTGCAGGGGTGTGTGGGTGACTCAGTTGTTTAAGCGTCAGACTCTTGATTTTGGCTGGGGTCATGATCTCAGTGTCATGACATCGAGGAGCCTCACCTTGGGCTCCATGCTCAGCGGGGAGCTGCTTGAGATTCTCTCTCTCCTGCTCTCCCTCCCCCCACTCCTGTGGACTCTCTCTCTCTCTAAATAAATAAATAGATAAAATCTTTAAAAATAAAATAAAACATGTCTGCAAATTCTTCTGCAGTTTTTTTGTTTTTTGTTTTTTTTAGAAAGAGAGAGAGCATGAGCAGGGGAGGGGCAGAGAGAGAGAGAGGGAGAGAGAGAATCCTGGGCAGGCTCTCATGCCCAGGGCGGAGCCCAACACGGGGCTTGATCTCACAGCCCTGAGCTCATGACCTGGGCTGAAATCTAGAGCCAGACAGCTAACCACCTGAGCCACCCACGTGCCCCTCTTCTGCACTCTTCCTATCAAAAGGTGGAGTCTAGTTCTTTGAATATGGACTGGCCTTAATGATTCATCCCCACCAAATAGAATGGCAGAAATGACACAGCAGACATCTGAGGTTAGGTTAGATTAGAAAAGGTGATAAAATTTCCATCTGGCTCTTTCTGTTGGGCTGTCTGTCATTCTTGGGAGTGAGCCGTCATAGGGTGAGGAAGCCAAGTTGGCCACAGCTAAAACAGAAGTCTAAGCAGACAGGCAGCACCAACAACCAGCATCAACTGCTCAATGTAAGTGAGCAACCTTCAGATGGTTCTAGGTCCCAGCATTCAAACTGTCCCAGATAACTCCCAGTGGAGCAGAGTCGAGCTGTCCTTACCAAATTAATGATTTGTAATCATAATAAATGTTATTTTTAGTAAATAAGTTTTGCGGTCGTTTGTTATGGAGCAATAAATAACTGGAACAGGAGTCCATATTGTGTAGGCCCTTCTAGGCTTTTGTGAGGACCTTGGCTTTTTCTCTTGAGTGATTTAGGAAGTCTCTGGATTGTTTCAAGTGGAAGAGTGCTATAATCTGTTTTAACTAGATAGAATGTTTGGACTAGATCTCTTTGGCTACTTGGATGAGAATAAATAGAAGAGAGACAAAGGCAGAAACAGGGAGTCGCAATGAGTTAGCATCTCATTTATGTCATTGAAATTTGCCCAAGAATTTAAGGTTTTATTAACACGTTTCAGAGATAAACATTTCATTCTTTTACATTCTTGAATATTCTTACACACACACATACATGCAAGAAAATGAAGAGCCATTTTCCTGCTTTATTTTGATTTATACTCCTGAATATAAATCACCAAAGAAGGCAATTTTATATTCTTTTTTTTAGAACATGGCAAAATAGGGTTATTGTTAGGAGATGAAGAATGAACTTAGATCAAATTACAGTATCACATTTTATTTACGCCACAATTTTGGATATTTTGTCCAATTGTAAAACGAGTATAGTTAAAATTTCTAGCCTGAATCTTTCATAGCCTTACACAATCACCTGCCTGCCTCCCCACCAGCTACCCAAAACACTTTCTCACTCTCTCTCTCTGTCTCAGGTACTGCACTTTAGCCAGACTGGCTGCCTCTTGCAATTTCTCAGAGCTGGCTTCCATCTCTGACTCTTTTCATTGTTACTCCTTTTGTCTAGAATGCTTTTCTTCTAGATGTTTTTGTGGCTAACACCCTGTTTCCTTTATGCCAATCCTCAAATGAGGACATCAGTAAGACCTTCCCTGACTACCCTAGGTAACAGTTAACCTCCTTCCTACTCTCAGTATCTCTATTTCTATTTATAATACTTTATTTTTCTCTCTTGTATTTTATTTCTTTGTTTTTCTCTATTGTGTTTACCACATTCTGATATACTATATATAATTACTTACTTGCTTTCTCCTGACTATAACTAGAATGTGTGCCCCATGAGGGCAGGGTTTTTGTTTGTTTTCTAGTGAAGATGCCTCACATATACTAAGCAGTCAAAAACACAGATAACAAATGATTGAAACTCAGGTGTAGGATTAATATCTTAAGCATTATCTTGAAAAGTTAATTAACTAAATAAATGACATATGAAAATATTTTTTATTTTTTCATATTTGTAATTATAGCTAAAATATGATAGTTCTGGATATCTAATATCATTTGGCATCTTTATTCTTCAATTTTTAAATTTATTTATAAATTAGATTTTCTTGCAGTAATGGAACAGATTTTTGAAATATTTTCCTAGCCTACCATATATTGATCTGAAAAAAAAAATGTTTTTGAGATGACATACCCCTTGAGCTAATTAAAAGTTTAATATGGTCAATCCTTATTCGGTGGGTTGTCACTGAAAACTTTCTTTTTCCCCCCACTTTCCCCCACCTAAGATGATTGTCATAAAACTGGAACTTATTAAAAAGTTTTTCTTATTTAAATTCAATAAGGAAAATGGAAAACCAGATTAACACCTATAATCACTTGTTCTTGAATGTTTCCAGTATTTCTTTTTTTTTTTAAAGATTTTATTTATTTATTTAATTGACAGAGAGAGAGAAAGAGAGAGAGACAGCATGAGAGGGAACACAAGCAGGGGGAGTGGGAGAGGGAGAAGCAGGCTTCCAGCCGAGCAGGGAGCCTGATGCGGGGCTCGATCCCAGGACCCCGGGATCATGACCTGAGCCGAAGGCAGTCGCTTAACCAACTGAGCCACCCAGGCGCCCCTCCACTATTTCTTCAGCTTAGGGTAGAAATAATGCTCTAAGTGAGGAAAACTGATAATTTGAAAAAAAAATTTTCTTTAAAAATTAAAAGTAATCCTCTTGGGTGCCTGGGTGGCTCAGATGGTTGAGCGTCTGCCTTCAGCTCAGGTCATGATCCCAGAGTCCTGGGATCGGGTCCCGCCCCTCTGCCTCTCTCTCTCTCTCTCTCTCTGTCTCTCATGAATAAATAAATAAAAAAATCTTTAAAAAAAAAAGTAATCATCTTTTCAGACTTCATGCAGATTGTACAGTGTCAGTTTTTAAAGGCAAATTTAAATAGTGGAAAATTTTCATTGCATTGAAGTTATTTAATTTTTGTTTACTTTTAAACCAGAGTTTGTCATTTTCTGAGGTTTATTTAGGAAGAAACAAAAAAATTGTAAAAGTTCATTTAAGCTACTTTTTTTTTTTAAAAGATTTTATTTATTTATTTGAGAGAGAGAGAGAGAGAGAAGCCAGGGGAGGGGCAGTGGGAGAGGGAGAAGCTGACTCCCTGCAGAGCAGGGAGCCTGATGCCAGGCTCGATCCCAGGACCATGAGATTATGACCTGAGCTAAAGGCAGACAGGCAGATGCTTAACCAGCTGAGCCACGCAGGCGCCCCAAGCTACTTTTTTAAAAGACTAGTGAGTTCCTACTAATTTTGGTGTATTATATATTTATTGTTAACACAATTTTAATTCCTATAGCATACTTTTAGATTTATTGCAATTTATCTCAGAACTCTTCCTTAAACAATTTGGATCAGAATTAGCTGGGGAACAGTTTAAAAATTGCCCTCACTTCAGCATACTCAATTAGATTCCCTGAAGATGGGAACTCAGCACTTACTTAATTCTGTGCACACTAACATTTGATTTCGAGGCTGGGGCAACCATTTCTATACATTACTGATACCAATAATCTTTAGATGGAATTTTGGAGCAAAAGACTATTAGTTTCTGGGTATAGTGTTGTGAGTTTCACTCTTTTATAATGAAATTACTGACATGTTTCTTTAGTCGTTGGCTTTAAACTTACTGATGTACCTGTTGATCCCCAGACAATATTTGCAGAATTTCAACACAGTCGAGAAAAAGCACTTCCCTCGGATAACATAAGGCATGCTCTAGCAGAGAGCTTCAAAGATGAGCAGCGATTTCAGTTGGGCCTTATGGATGATGCTGCAGAGTGCTTTGTAAGTATTTTTGATAATCCTTAAATGAGAATACTACCTTGTTTTCCTTAAATGATACGAATTTCGAGACGAATGAAACCTAAATTTCTAACCATGGAAACAAATCATAACTACTCATTGGATCCATGCCTTACCTGCCCTGAATTCAGAGCTCAGTTTAAGTCCATCTGTGTCTTATGACTTTTGATTTTGGTTATTGTGCTGCTGTCATTTTTATTGGGTATTAGAGTACTGAAATATTTTAAAATTTATTTATTGGAGAAAACATTTATTAAATATAAATTATGTCACTTAAGTCAGTATCCTGCCTCCACAGGGTTTAGATGTGCAACGCATTCCCAGCAGTAGCATTTCTCATTACATGCAGTGATTCTCTTTGGGAGAGAAGAAGTTCTTGGTGGGCAGCTATCAGGGGCAGCAGTTCTGATACACCTCTCACTCTGGGTTGAGAATCATGATGGGTTGATGTTCTGTGTTACCACAATATTGATAAGTAGAACATTCCTTTGAATAGTAACGAAACCTTACGTACTTTCTAAAATGTGTGTTGATTATTAAATGTGTCAGTGTTATAGATGTTACCTATATTTAAAGAGGTAGCCATTTTTTTCATAGTCTTATATCTATTTAGCAAATTCTATATATTCTTTCATCAGAAAACCTTTTAAGGTTTTCCTTGACACATTATTTTCCTGAAACCACTTGCTAGTTCAGGCCCCTACTCTCAGTGTTATTTAAGCCTCCTCACTTGTATCCTTTCAGCCTATCCCCTTACAGTGTTTTTTAATGGCCAACAGATTAATAAAATTTTCTTCAGGTTAATCTTTGCCCTTCAAATATTCTTGTGATTCAAATCTGAACTCTCTCCTGACATTTAAGGCCATTTACAGTTAAACTCCAGTTTACCTCTTTATTTCTTCCTGGAATTTTCCCTCCTATGAGGTGGGTCTATTCCTCAAGTATGTCTTTTAAATTCACTAGATTTCTGTAGAATTTACTATCTATAGAATTCATTTGGCATTTGTTATCATTTTTTTAAAGATTTATTTATTTGAGAGAGAACGCGTGCACATGCACTTGCATGCGTGTGTGCACATGCACACACACACAAGTGGGGGGAGAGGCTGAGGCAGGGGGAGAGAGAAAATCCACAAGCAGACTCCCCGCTGAGTGTGGAGCCCAATGCAGGGATTAATGCCAGGACCCTGAGATCGCGACCTGATTTGATACCAGGAGTCAGCCACTTACCTGACCGAGCAACTCAGGTGCCCCTGTTATTTCCTTAATGCGCATCTTTACTGTTTTCCTTGGACAGATGGAAAGCTTTTTGACTAGTGCACTGCATAGCATACTTTCCATGTTGATTAAAATGTGTCAAAAACAGCACACATAGTCATAAAATATGCTTTTCATATTTCTCATGTTCCTAATTGATCCATTACTTAAAATATAAATATATTTTGTACAATACCAAACTTTGTAGTTTATTTTCACTTAAATGAAATGTACTAATATGTGATAGGATAATTCATAGAATACCTAGAAATTTAAGTTTAAATAATTGAATGCTTTTAAACTTCCTAGGGCAGAGGAGAGAGGTAAGTTAGCTAATTAAAAGAATCCATTGGATAAGCTTTGCTAAAAAGAAGGCTTGTTTGTTAAAGAAATAAATACTCCTTATTGACGTGTATTACAAATTTGAAATTTGTTTGCGGGGCAGATTCCTTGCATTAGGATGTTAGTGTAGGTATTGTAAACCTTTATCATTGCTATTTTAATGTGAGTTATAGAAACTATAAAAATGTTCCAAGTAGGATTTTTGAAAGATTAACTGCTTTTCCCTAATGTGAGAATGCTGGAAACATAGGAAACTTATGTTTTCTAATATTAAATTCTAGATGTTAACCACCATGAATTGATTTTTTAAAGGATTTTTAAAATATTTATTAAAATCATATGTTACATTATAATGTTTCTTTCATTAATTTTTTTTAAAAGCTAATACTACAAAGGGTGAATAATTGAACAGCATTTGAATGGTTGATTAAAGAGGAAAGCTGACAGTATGTATGGCACTGTTCAAATTGGAAAATCTTAAAAAGATTTTTAAAATTTGTAAAGTTAAAAAGAGTTTTATTGTATAGTGTCATCTGTAAGATTCACAACTCATTTGTCTTTTAATTTTTTAAATTAGGAAAATATATTGGAGAGGATTCATTTTCATATAGTGCCAAGCAGAGATGCAGACATGTGTACCTCTAAGTCTTGTATCACTCACCAGAAGTTTGCTATGACTCTGTATGAACAGGTGAGATGGCTTAACCACTTTATTAGTTATTCTGTTACTATTATATTTGCATACATTTATACATATATATTACATATTTAAATATATGTGTAACGTATGTTTTATATTTATGTTTTATGGTTGATAAATTAAACATATGTTTTTACCTGTAGTGTGTGTGTCGCAGCTGTGGAGCATCATCAGATCCTCTACCTTTTACAGAATTTGTGCGGTACATTTCTACAACAGCCCTGTGGTAAGAACCTACTAAAGCATGTTTACCAAAGATGTTAACACATTTAAGCACATTGAGCATTTATTTTATAAAACCATAACATATGTGAGTATCTGTTCTCTGTCTTAGACCTGAAAATATACAACCATCAGAGGTACTAAGTGATGTCTGTCTCAGCTAGCTGTTTCTGATTTGGCCAGAAACCATACACTTGATGAAATTTCCAAATATTAGTCAAAATTTGTATCTCTTTATATTTATAGCAAGTTTTGGGAATTGTAAAGGAGACCTTAAAATGACAAGTTCAGTGGTAAATGGAGCTGCACGCGATTTCTTCATTTTTACTAAGGTGTTATCTTTGTAGTAACAGTGTTTCCCATCACCTCCATGTCCCTTCATGGTGATGGAAGCCAGGGTAAGAAGAGAAGAAAGAAAAAGGTGAAATTAATTCTCTGTTAGATTTATTTCATTTAAGGCCTCAACATTCACCTGAAATAAAAATTTGCCATGCTTGCCTGTCCCCTCCCTTCCTGCCCATGAAACATTAGTGAGTTAGGGATCCAAAATGATCCCTAGACTTTACATAATAAGAGTAGTTTTAAACACTTTCTAATAGGTATTAGAAAATATAAATATTTGATATATGATAAACATTGAATAAAATCATAAATATTTATAGGTATTTTGATACAAAAAACAAATCATGGATCAATAATTATCAGTACATTGGTACAAAAGTTAGCTACCAATATTTTTATCATTGTGCAAAATGAAATTCAGGTGCTTATCTGTTTCATTATATCATTAAACTTTCTGGCCTTTTTGGATATGACACAATATTTCTTGAAGATTATTGAATAATAGCAATTTGATTATTTGAGTGTATTTAGTGTCTTAGTATATACAGAGTTGGGGAGCATTGTTTTAGGGAAGCATTCACTAAACTTCACTTACAGATTCATTTTTTTTCACTTTTCATGAAAAGTAGGATGGTGTTTGAACAAGGATAGGCCACACATTAAAAACCATAAAACTTTTAAGTCTACTCTGAAACTCTTATATAAAATGACAGTGCTCTGATTCAGTATCTTATGTAACAAGAGTTGGAGCTCCATTAGTCTGTCCTTGGTCCACACCACCAACTGCAAGAAACCAGACTTTGAACTCTAATTATGGTTGACCCTTCAAATAACACAGGTTTGAACTGCACAGGTCCACTTAGATGCAGATTTTTCTCAATAAATATATGTACAGTACTGTAAATGTATTGTCTCTTCCTTAGATTTTCTTTTTTTTTCTTAAGATTTATTTATTAGAGAGAGAGCGTGCGCAAGCAGAGGGAGGGGCAGAGAGAGAGGGAGAGAGAGAATCTCAGGCAGACTCCCTGCTGTTTGTGGAGCCCAACCCAGGGCTCGATCTCATAACCCTGAGATCAAGACCTGTGCCGAGATCAAGAGTCTGACACTCAACCAACTGAGCCACCCAGGTGCCCCCTTTATGATTTTCTTAATAACATTTCCTTTTCTTCAGTTTTTTGGAAGAATATAGTATATGATACATATAACACAAAGTGCGTGTTAATTGACTGACTATTATTGGTAAGGCTTCTGGTTAATAGTAGGCTTTTAGTAGTTAACTTTGAGGGGGGTGTCAAAAGTTGTATGGTAATTTTGGATTGTTTGAGGGTCGGGTGCCCCTTACCCCATGTTTAAGTGTCAACTATAATCACCTTCTTTGTATTGGATGCCAATTACAGAATTCCAGGCTTTACGTAAATCATCACTTTTAATGTTAACAAAAACACTATTTTGAATGTACAATTTGAATAGGCTTATCAGATTTAGTGCTTTCTAATATACTTGTGAAGTGCTTTAGAAGAATAGGTGCTTTTAGCTGTTATTGAATACTGTATATTAAACCATGGAACTGTAAAATATATCCAGCTCTAGGACAGTTAATATTACCACTAAGCAGAACCAGAGCATCTAGAATGGAAAGTAGTAAGGATATTTGAGCTTTTATTACATTTGTTTTTGGAAATGTTTAAACAGTTATTTAAAGATAGTACCTTGATATATAAAAATTTGATTCTAAAGTAGACTAAACAAAAAGTGGCACAGATATCCTGCCTAGGCTCTGCTGAAATGGTTAGCACTCATAAGGCACAAGCCTGGCCTAAATAGTTTTGGTTTTGATTTCTGCATTCATCAGCAAAGGACCCCTCTGTTAGCTGAAAATGATACCTTTGTTTCTGAGAACTTTAGGCCAAAGAGGAAGCCTTTCCAACAATTTGTTGTTCTTGTTAGGCCAAAGTTTAAACTCAAGTCCCTACTTGTTAAATAATAATAGAAACATTTGACTTAGAACTACCTCCAGATGGATCATCTTATCACCTCATTCATGTAGTTCCAAACAGTGGTAAAATTTAGTGTTATTCTATTCTTGACCTAATTTTTTTCATCATACACCTGCCAAATCTCATAATTTTTCACTGTATGGAAACTTACTTTATGATTAATTTCTCAAACAGAACCTGTTTTAAGACAGAAAAAGCAACCATACCCATAGTGATAACTTGGTATTTTTCATGCATAATTTGTTAGATCTTTTTAAAGTTCATAGGACACATTTGAAACTGCTTCTTTCTTTTGTAGCAATGAAGTAGAAAGAATGATGGAAAGGCATGAACGTTTTAAGCCTGAAATGTTTGCAGAATTGCTGCAAGCAGCAAATACGACTGATGACTATAGGAAATGTCCTGTAAGTATAATTTGGAGAATATTAGTGTGCTTCTATGTTTGTAAATTTGAAAATAGATACTCAGAAATTACCATGTAAATACTAATTATACATGGACTTGATTTTAAGAATTTATTTTTTCAGTGTTATTTTAGGCAACTCTTTATACCATGTGAGCTATTTATTTGAGCACTATTTCTTTAAAAACTCTTTGTGAAGGATTTAAGTTAGTGTATGCTGATTAATTTTTTTTTTGAGAGAGAGTGAGCGAGCAAGCAAGCAGGGGTGGAGGGGAGGGGCAGAGGGAGAGGAGAGAGAATCTTAAGCAGACTCCCTGCTGAGCATGGAGCCCTAGGCGAGGCTTGATCTCATAACCCTGAGATCATGACCTGAGCTGAAATCAAGAGTCCGGTGCTTAAGTGACTGAGTCACCCAGGTGCCCCCTGATTAATTTTTTTAAGTTCTGAAATCTATCGTTTGACTAAAGAGAAAGTTTATTTTCATTTAAACATTACAAATGGTACCATTCTTTTCTAATGTAATATTATTGACTTCAGTGTTCTAGTTCTCATCTTTTTAGATTGAATTCTTGTTTTAACAGATTTAAAAAATACCAAAGAAAAGTACTTTGATTTAAAATAAACTTACTTTTAATCAGTAATTAGACAAATAATTTGATAAAAGTGAATTTTAGTATGCCGAACAAATAATTTTCTGATATATGTAAAGATTGTTACTGTTAATGCAAACTGTATAAGGGATTACCTATGGTATATCTATTTCAGTAATTTCAAAATTTGCCTTTTGTGTTTTTCTTTAGAGTAACTGTGGCCAAAAAATAAAAATTCGCCGTGTTTTAATGAATTGCCCAGAGATTGTTACAATTGGTTTAGTATGGGATTCTGAGCATTCTGACTTGACCGAAGATGTTGTTCGGAATCTAGCAACACATCTTTATCTTCCTGGGGTATCTCAGCTGTTTTCATTCTCTTCCTTTTTGTTTCTAAATTCTTTTAAAACATATTCATGTTTTATAATACACTTGTTTTTCAGAACTAAACTTTCTAAAGGAAGTAACATTCAGATATAATGCTGATAAAGTTCATCAAATCAGGCTAACTGGAATGTCTTTCTTGCATAGACTAGGAATAGCTTTCAATTATAAACTGTCTCATGCTCTAATTCTGTATCTCACTAGAATGATGATAATGGTGTGTGTGCGTGTGTGTGTGTGTGTATGGTAATGACAAGTATAAATATTAACCTAGAAAGGTTTAAGATTCAAAAATCATCTACAGCACTGATCTCTTAATATGCTTATTAACATTTTTAATATATTTTGAATTGGTTTATATTACAATTAAACTTTTAGATAATATGTTTCAGGTATGTTCAAATATGTGATTCACTCAAAAATTATTAGGAATTGTGTAATTTATCCCACATTTCCAGTTTATGTATATAAAGTGTCAAGATACTGGGTTACTGAACTAAATTGTAGTGAATTCATTTTATTGGAGGAAGAGTAATAGTTATAGTTAATAGTAAGTAATAGTTAATAGTAATTCTACTCAGTACAATCTGAGTGATACCTTCTGTACTAATATAATATTGAATTAGGGAAGCTTGCATAAGAAATTTTTTCATAGATAGTCAAATACATAACTCACCAAATTATTGTTCCTCATTTTTAAAAAGATACAGTATTAAATATACATGGTTATTTTTTAAACAGCTTTTTTATAGAGTTACTGATGAAAATGCCAAAAATAGTGAACTTCACCTAGTTGGTATGATCTGCTACACCAGCCGACATTATTGTGCCTTTGCTTTTCATACCAAGAGTTCCAAATGGGTATTTTTTGATGATGCAAATGTGAAAGAGGTAAGTGACACTTTCACTAACTGGGATAATTATTGTGACTTTTACTTTTTAGGAATAAATGAAATAATATATAAAATATGTATTACATAATATGTAAAAAATGATTGTATGTAAACATTTCTTATATAAAATAATGACCTTAATGATAATAGTATTGTTAAGTTCATACTTCCTTTTAATTTTTGAAATCTGGTTTATTTTAAAGCCAACTTTTAAGCCAGTCCATTTCCAGAATAATAAAAAAGGTGACTAATAAATGTTAGAATGCAAATATGTAACTGTCAGTGATCCATATGTCTGATACATTTTGTCTGATACATAGTTGCTCTGTGTATTTCTTTGTGAATGATTCGCGGTTGCTTTGTATAATTAGTGATGAAAATCTGCTTGTTTTTAAAATTATTATGACTGCCCTTTCAAACTTTGTGTATGGTATTCAGAATTAGATATGCTTATTATATCTTTTGGTAAATAACTTATTCAAATATTATAATATCTAGAAAACTAGTGAATAATAGTTTGTAGTAAGGAGTATGTATGAGAATCACCTTTGGAACTTTTGAAAAAACTGGTACCTGCCTGCACTCTTAAATTCTCAATTCAGAGGTTGTAGAAGCCAATACCTGATTTTTTTTTTAAAAGTTCTATAGGAGATTCAGATTTTTCCACATTTGAAAACTGTTGATCTTGTCAGTACTACGCCTCGGCCTATTCGCTTTGAGAATCCTCTTATTAAGCAGTAAATGGATTTAAAGTACAAGTTATTTCATTGTTATAAGCAAATGATGTGCAATTCCATTTGCTTTCATTTTAATATAGAAGAAAGGGCCATTTATCAGCATTATGAATTAGTCAGGAGAAGTTCAAATATTCAGTATTTAGTGGATTTCTAATTGTTTCTATGAAGGATGAACTGCTATGGAAGTAGCCCCTCCAATATTAAAAATTAGAAAACCAAATAGATGAAACAACTTTTTTAGACATTGGATAGCAGGCAGTTGAACAGAAAAAAGGAAACAAACAAGATGAGCCCTATTATTATTCCCGTTTACTGCCTACGGGTAGTTTTTACACTGCAGGGAAGCGGAACTCAGACAAAGCCTAGAAGTCTTACTGAGTTGAAGAAACTGAGACTGGAGTTCAGGAAGGCTAAGATGGCTAAAATTCACTGGACAGATTACCAGAAAGAATACTGCACAGAGGGAAAGTTCTGGAGATTGGTAGATGGGTCCCCTTTAATCTTTGGCTGAATAGTGATCTGACGTTTGGAGCAAACCTGCACAAGGTGGGTGAAAGAATTACTGGAAAACAGAAGGTCAGGTGATTTTCAAAATTCATACAGGGCTAGGAATAGTTTGCATCCACACCAGCAAGAGTGGAAAGATGTTGTAATGCATAGAGCAACAAATAGAATCCTCAGAAAAGTACCACCTTAATAATGGGACTAAATTATATGTAGACTGAATACTGCCCTGGACCTGGCATAAAAAGCTTAAAATGAAGTCTTCAAAGGACCAAGATGATCCTACAAAACTTAACAAATGCCAGAATGAAGTCCAGTACTTTTTTAAAGGAACACAACAAATTCACCCAAAAATATAAATTTCAATATGCCATTTCAAGATAGTATTCAATAAAAAATTACCAAATATGTGGAGAAGTAGGAAAATGTGACCCATACCCATATTAATAGAAACGGACCCATTCCACCACTCCATTTCTTCCAATCACATGATACGGGGGTGAGGAAGCAAGGTAGAGAAATGAAGCACACCTTCTATTCTCTCAGGAACTTCATCAACTTCACCATTCCTACCCTCAAAAAAGAGGGTTCTGGGTAATAATCAGGTGACCTCCAAGGTCATGTCCAGGCCAGCTCTAATATTGAATCATTAAAAAAAAAAAAAAAGACAAAATAGCAGAGATGGAAGTATCAGACAAGAATGTTACAACTTCTGTTTCAGTGTGGAGAGAGTTATTGGATAACAGTCAATAAACATGGACCATAAAAATAATCAATAAATTGGATTTCATCAGAACTTTTGCTCTTCAGTAAGATACTGTTAGGAGAATAAAAAGGCAAGCCATAGACTGGGGCAGAATATTTGTCAAGCATATATCTAATAAAGGCTATATCCAGAGTATATAAAGACTCTTACGACTCAATAAAGAAAGACAAATCAATTAAAAATGGGCAAAAAAGATAATAGGGAAAGATAGTGGAGTAGGAGGACCCTACGCTCACCTCGTTTCATGGATCCAATTAGATAACACTCACATCAATGTAAATAATCCAGAAAACTGCCTGAAGACTGGCAGAACAAACTCCACAACTAAAGGTAGAGAAGAGGCCACCTCAAAGAGGGTAGGAAGGGCAGACATGGTGGGGAGCTAAACAGATCACAGGCTGTCTGCAGAAGGGAGGGACTTGTAGGTGAGGAGAAGGGAGAGAAACAGACTATCACACTGGGAAAACAAATCCCTATAACATTTGGCTTTGAAAACTAGAAGGGCCAAATTCTGCGAGTTCTTACAACCAGTAGGACTTAATACTAACAAACTGAATCCAACAATACATTAAAAAAAAAATTCACCACAGTCAAGTGGGATTTATTCCTGGGTTTGCGAGGGTGATTTAGTATTCACAAGTGAATCGACATGATACACCACATTAATATAAAAGAAAGGATAAGAATTCCATGATCTTTTCAGTAGATGCAGAAAAAGCATTTCACAAAGCACAACATCCATTAATGATAAAAACCCTCAACCAAATAGGTTTAGAGAGAACATACCTCAACATAAGAAAAGCCATATATAAAAAACCCACAACTAACATCATAGTAGGGAAAAAAAAGAGCTTTTACAGTCAGGAACATAACAGGGATGTCCACTCTCATCACTGTTAATTTAACATAGTACTGGAAGTCCAAGCCACAGCAATCAGACAACAAGAAGAAAGAAAGGCATTCAAATTGGTAAGGAAGAAGAAAACTTTCACTATTTGTAGACAACATGATACTCTATATAGAAAACCTAAAAGACTCCACCAAAAAAATTGCCTGAACTGATACACAAATTCAGTAAAGTCACACGATACAAAATGTACAGAAATCTGTAGTATTTCTACTTACCAATAATGAAGCAGCAGAAAGAGAAATAAAGAAATCAATCCCATTTACAATTGCACCCAAAACCATAAGATATATAGGAATAAACATAAGCAAAGAGATGAAAGACCTGTACTCTGAAAACTATAAAACACACATGAAAGAAATTAAAAATGATGACAGAAATGGAAAAACATTCCATGCTCATGGAAAGACAATATTGTTAAAATGTCCATACTACCCAAAGCAATCTACACATTTAATGCAATCCCTATCAAAATACCACCAGCATTTTTCACAGAGCTGTAATAAACAATCCTAAAATTTGTATGGAACCACAAAAGACCCCAAATAGCCCAAAGCAACTTTGAAAAAGAAAAGCAAAGTAGACACATCCCAATTCTGGACTTCAAGTTATAATACTTGAAGTTATATTACAAAGCTGTGGTGGTCAAAACAATATGGTACTGGCACAAAAATAGACATAGATCACTGCAACAGGATAGAAACTTGGAAGGGAACTCACAACTATATGGTTAATTAATCTTTGACAGAGCAGGAAAGAATATGCAAACGGAAAAAGACAGTCTCTTCAACAAATGGTGTTGGGAGAAGTGGACAGCAACATACAGAAGAATGAAACTGGACCACTTACACCATACAAAAATTAAAAATGGATTAAAGACCTAAATAAGAGACTTGAAGGCATAAAAATCCTAGAGGAAAACACAGGCAGTAACCTCTTTGACATCAGTCATAGCAACTTCCTTCTACATATGTCTCCTGAGGCAAGGGAAACAAAAGCAAAACTATTGGGACTTCATATAAATAAAAAGCTGTACAGCAAAGGAAATGGTCAATAAAACTAAAAGGCAGCCTACAGAATGGGAGAAGATATTTGCAAATGACATATCTGATAATGGGTTAATATCCAAAATGTATGAAGAATTTATAAAACTTACCACCTGAAAAAATGAATAATCCAATTAAAAAATGGGCAGAAGACATGAGCATTTCTCCAAAGAAGTCATACAGATGATCAATAGACACATGAAGAGATGCTCAACATCACTGATCAGCAGGGAAATACAAATCAAAACTACAATGAGATATCACCCCACACATGTCAGAATGGCTAAAATCAACAACATAGGAAACAACAGATGTTGGTGAGGATGTGGAAAAAGGGGAACCCGCTTGCACCGTTGGTGGTAATGCAAACTGGTACACCCACTCTGCAAAAGTGTGGAGGTTCCTCAGAAAGTTAAAAATAGAACTACCCTATGATCCAGCAATTGCACTACTAGGTATTTAGCCAAAGAATACAAAAATACTAATTCAAAGGGATACATGCACCACAATGTTTGTAGCAGCATTATCAACAATAGCCAAATTATGGGAACAGCCCAAATGTCCATCGACTGATGAATGGATAAAGAAGAAGTGGGATAGATATATGCATGCATGCAATGGAATATTACTCAGCCATAAAAAATGAAATTTTGCCATTTGCAATGACGTGGATGGAGCTAGAGAGTATTATCCTAAGTGAAGTAAGAGAAAGACAAATACCATATGATTTCACTCGTGTGGAATTTAAGAAACAAGCAAAGGGAAAAAGAGAGGCAAAGCAAGAAACAGACTCTTAACTGTAGAGAACAAATAGATGGTTATAAGAGGGGAGGGGAGTGGGGGATGGGTGAAATAAGTGATGGGGACAAAAGAGTGTACTTGTGATGAGCACCAGGTGTTGTGTAGAAATGTTGAATCACTAAGTTATGTACCTGAAACAACACTCTGTTAACTAGCTGGAATTTAAAAACTTAAAAAAAATTACATTAACACACACACACACACAAAATATGCTCACAATAGATATGTGACTTGCCTAACATTTTCCTTATGATAGTAATCCAGAAATGGAAGTAGAGAAAGGGAGAGAATGAGCACTCACAGGCAAACTGTGACATGTAAAATTTAACTTGAAAACCTCCACGTCCCTTTTCTTCTTCTTTTTCCCCAACCATGATGTGTCCCTCTCCCTGAGAGCTCCTGTCCCCTATGACTCCACAACAGTTGATGCTCTGCTACAGAAAGAGTTTAATAGGTTTATTTCCAGGGTTGGTTTTGTATTTTTTCTTTTTTTGGGTGTTTTGGCTCTATCAAATTTTTTTTAGCAGCAAGGCCAAAATGAAAGGAAAATTGGTGGGTCCAGGAAGTCCTTACAGAGAGCTACCAAGGTCACACCATACTGTAGTTGGTCACCTTACTTACCTTTAAAGAAAGTCATGAGAAAAGTAAATCTGACCCAGGTGTCTTAATATTAGCAAAGAAACTCACTAGTAGTGTCACAAGGACTGTGTGGGAGGAGGACTTCTCAAGGCTCATGTAGCTGTGAGTGACTCCACCACCCCAAGTGACTCCTGGGTCTTTGGGTGTACACACTGTGTAGTGCCCTGGTGGCTCATGGGAATGCATGAAGGGCAGTGTGGAGGGCTGGCCTGACAAGGTGAGAGAGTACTTCCAGTATCACTCTTGCTTCACTCAGTCAGGAGAATCCCTTCAGGGGCTTCCCTTTTCTCCTGTCATACAAAGTGCAGTTTGTGAACCTTTATAATACACATCAGGAACTGAGTAGCCAAAGCAGCTAGCAGAAGGCAAACAGCTACTGACCATAGGAAGAGAGCAGCATGGAAAGAAGAGAAGGGTGAGAGACACGAGAGCCTTCCAAGTCTGAGTTTGTCAAACAAGGTCTTTTTGGAGTTTGGGATGAAAGAGAATCTAGCCGTAGGTGTGAAAGAAGGAAAGAGCGAAATGAAAAAAAAAAAAGAATTGCAAGGTTTTTGTGTGCATGCATTATTAGTTGTAATTGCTTTTTTTTTTTTTGGCATAACTAAAATAAAGGTTTAGTTTTGTATTAAATAAAAATTTGGGAATTTAAAAAAATCTGTGGGCTCAGTGTGCAAGAACCCAAGAGTGGAAAACCATAGGAAGCTGAGTCCCTGCCCTTAAAAAATGATACTCAGTAAATTATTAGGTATAAAGTAAATACAAATTCAGTTCACAATGAGATTCTATTACTCATGTGTAGAATAGCTAAAATTAAAAAGACTGACCATACCAAGAGCTGGTGAAGATGTGGAATAGCTAGATCTCTCACAGAAGACTGATGGAAATGCATAATGAACAGTCACTTTAGAAAACTGTTTATCAAATTCTTACAAATTTAAACATGTACTTCCATAGATACTAGTAATTCCACTCCTGTAAAAACATTATGTCCACACAAAACTTGTACTTGAATGTTTATAGTAGTTTTGTTCATAATAACCAAAACTGGCAACAACTCAAATGTCCATCAACAGGTGAATGGATAAACTGTGGTATAACCATTCAATGGAATATAATAGGAATATAATACTCAGCAGTAAAGAGTAATGAACATTGTGGAACATTGTGGAAAAATCTGAAAAGCAACATTGTGGAAAACACTGTGGAAAAATCTGAAAAGCAATATGGTAAATGAAGAAAGTGAGACATAAGAAACTATGATTCTGCTTATCTAAAATTCATGAAAAGGAAAAAACAGTTGGGACAGAAAGTAAATCATTGGTTGCCAGTCACTGCAAAGGGGGTACAAAGGAAGTTTATTGGGGAAGATACATGATTGTATGTATATATTTGGCAGAATTCATTGACTGGTGTACTGTAACTGGGTAGTTTTATTTCATGTAAATTATACTCAATAAAGCCAATGAAAAAATTGGGGTATTTATATTCTAAAATAAACACTTTGCTAAAATTATGTAGTACTTTTATATAGCAGTTTATCAACAAATTCCATGTTGAATCAGTGTGTGGTAACATTTTGGCACTCCTTTCTGTCCACATAGTTTAAATGGTCAAAATTTGAAGGAAGAATTTTGAGCCACTCTGAGTTTTAGGTTTGTTTTGTTTTGAGATTACTCTAGTTCCTCAAGTATCTCAGATTCCAAGGTAAGAAGGGTAAACAGCTAAATATGTGTGGTTTGAAAAAGCTCCTTAGGACTTTTAAAGATCCCTTCCTTCTCTGCCAAAGCCAGTGTTCTAGAATGCTCTGTTTTTTATTTGGTTGGGTTTTGTTTTGTGTTGTTTTAAATCAGTTTTATAGAGGTTTAATTTACAAACATTAAAATGCACCCATAACATAGGTATGGACAAATGTGTACATACCTATGTAACCTACACAATTATTATACAAAACACTTTCATCACCCAGAAAGTTCTGTCACGTCCCTTTAACTGCTAATACCCCCCCACCCTACCCTTGGCCCCAGGAAATCACTGATCTCACTATAGATTAGTCTTGCTCTTTCTACAGTTTTGTAAGAATGGTGTCTCATAGTCTCAGTTCTCTGTGTTTGGTTTCCTTTGTCAAGCATAATGCCTTTTAAGACTCATTCATGTTCTATCAGTGCTTCATTTTTATTGTTGTGTTCCATTACATGGCTATATAACAATTTATCCATTTACCTTTTGAATTATGGATAGTTTTTGTGTGAACATGATTTTTTTCCCCATTGCTCTTGGCTAATACTCAGAAATGGGGGCACCTGGGTGGCTCAGTCAGTTAAGCATCAGATTCTTGATTTTGGCTCACATCATGATCTCAGGTTCGTGAGATCAAGCCCCACATTGGGCTCTGCACAGGATGTGGAACCTGCTTAAGATTCTCTCTTTCCCTCTGCCCTTCCCCCCAATTAAAAAAAAAATATATATATATATAAATAAAAAAGATACTCAGAAGTGGAACCTCTGGGTTGTGTGATAAGTATAGTTAAACTTTATAGGGAACTGGCAAAATGATCTTCAAAGTGATTATACCAGTTCACATTCCTATTAGTGTATGAGAGTTCCAGTTGCTCCACATTCTCAGCAATGTTTTATGTTGTTAGTCTTTAATTTTAGCCCTTTTAATGAATGTATAGTGTTACCTCAGTGTGGTTTTAATTTGCATTTTCCTTATGGTTAATAATGTTTTGAGTACCTTTTTGTGTGCTAATTGGCCATTCTTTTATTTTTTTGGTGAAGTGTCTTCAGATGTTTTGCCCATTTTAAATTGAATCATCTTCTTATTAATGAATTGCAGGAATTCTTTATTCTGCACAGCAGTTCTTTATTAGATGTTTGTGGCTTGTTTTTTTCATTTTTTAATGGGTAACCTTTAAAGAGCAGAAGTTATTAATTTATTTTGATCTGAAGCCCATTTTATAACCTTTTTCTTCTGTGGTTTGTTTGATGTTCTTTTTTTATTTTTCTGAGAGTGTGTGTGTGTGTGTGCAAAAGTGGGGGGAGGGACAGAAGGAAAGGGAGAGAGAGTCTCAAGGAGGCTCCACACTCATTGCAGAGCCCTTGACCCCATGATCCCCAGGTCACGACCTAAGCCAAAACCGAGAGTTGGATTCTCAACCAACTGAGCCCTCCAATCGCCCGTTTGATGTCCTAAGAAATCTTTACCTTCGCCAAGGTTGTTAAGATTTTCTCTTTTGTTTTTTCCTATAAGCTTTAAGTTTTTGTGTGACTCATTCTGGTTTAATTGTGCTTTATGTGTAATGGTGTCAAAGTTCATTTTTTTCGTATGGCCATCCAGTTGTTCCAGCACCTTGTTGAATAGAATCTCCATTAAATTAACCTTTAAATCTTTGTCAAAAATCAGTCAACCACGTACGTAGAAAAGCTTTTTAAAATTTGTTAGTCTAAATCTTGGTGTATGATTTTGCTCAATTTTTTAATGATAACATTTAAAAGATGTTTATTAGACTAGTTTAAGACAAAAGTAATCATATAATATGAACAGTTGAACTGCTAGCGTCTGAATTCTTTAGATCTTTTTAATATACAAATTAATTTAGTCTCTGCTGTTCAAATATATAACACATTGATTACAAGATTTTGTTTTGTTTTTATTCACTGTGGGTTTTTTTAAAGGTTGGGACGAGATGGAAGGATGTGGTCTCCAAATGTATCCGATGCCATTTCCAGCCACTGCTTTTGTTTTACGCAAACCCAGATGGCACAGCAGTTTCTACTGAAGATGCACTTAGGCAGGTCATCAACTGGTCACATTATAAATCCGTTGCAGAAAATATGGGTAATTTTTAAAAGTTCTTTTTAGTGTTCTTTATAGTATCATAGTCATACTAAGTATTAATATAGTAAAGATAAAATGAATTTTGAGGATAATTTCAAAATTCAATTTCAGTAAAGCAGGGTTCAGGAAAATTCTTACTTGGAGTTAATCTTTATAAAGAGGTCTTTCCCCACCAGTGGCCTCCAAAGCACCCTCAGGAGCCACCTACTTCTGTGGTCACACAAGCACAGAAGGGGATACGTGACTGGAAGCTCTTTTCTAACAGTAAAAATTTGAGAGTTAAAGTGAGTTATACACTGAAAAAGTCCAAAGGAGCCAGGCCATTTTTGGATGCACTACAAAGCAGATAGAAATCCTTTAAAAATGTCAGTCCTTCGAGTTTATAAGCAGTTATCCACAATACTAAAAATGATTCAGGGGAGCCTGGCTGGCTTGGTCAGTGGAACATGTGACTCGATCTCAGGGTTGTGAGCTCGAGCCCCACATTGGGTGTAGAAATTGCTTTAAAAAAAAAAAAATTCAAACTTCTTTTCTTCTGTTGGGGAGGAGGATGGGAATAATACATTTTTGCTTGTCTTTTAAGGATGTGAAAAGCCCTCAATTTATAAGTTAGATAATTCAAAAGAAAATGGATTTGGTGATCAGGCAAAACAGAGAGAAAATCAGAAATTTCAAACAGATAATATTTCATCATTTAATCGGAGCCACATTCAAACAAGTGGCAGTAGAGGACCAGGTATGTGTTTAAATTGTTATTTTCACATTGTCCCTGAGTGATTACGTTTCCCCCTTTCCTCTTTACTGAATCTGCAGTTTCTGGTAAGTACCATAGAAAAGGAGGGTGCTTAACTAACTTTGCTTGGCCATGAAGAGAAAATAACAACTAGATAGCAAAATTTTGTCTTTTACGCATTTCTCTCAGACTTACAGTTTGATCTGAACAGTTGGACTTGACTACTGTCTAGGTTTCTCCATACACTCAGAGCTATAGTAGGCTGGAGGCAATTTGGACAGTTAACCAAAGAAAGTCATAATATGGCCTTCTAGGAGTTAATTATTAACTTGGAGAGGAAAAACATGAGTTAATAATTTGGCACATATGCTAAATTTAAATTTACCATTTGTTAATGCAACAGTAGTAGTTCAAAGTTATTATAGTTGTACTTTATACTTAACCTCATTTTTATTCAACTTTGTCTTGTTATTGTCATCTCACAACTTTAATTTTCACAAACCAAGTTCTGTGACTTGGGTCCAAAATGAGACATTGCAGCATGGTGTGTATAGTTATGGTTTAGAAATACATTGAACTCTGAGTAGGTGGATGTTCAGGATGATTTTATAAGTGGCTTTAAAATGCATTAATGATATAATGTCTAACCATAAAAGTAACCCATTTAATCAAGGGTGGTAGGATCCAGAATTAACAATTGTCATCAACAAAGAATTACAATAAATGCTTTTAAAAGTTCTTAATGGAACTATACCTTTTACCCTCTGTATTGTTATACTCTTAGATTAGGCTGTTTGTCAAAAGATAACTACTTTTAAGCCCAGCAACTGTGTATGTGATTACAAACACAGACATTAGAACCAGACAACTTGGGTTCGTAATCATGGTTCTACATTTACAAGCTCTGTGAACTTGGGCAAGTTTTCAACTTCTCTGTGCCTCAGCTTCCTAATCCACAATGGAGGCAGTAATTGTACCCACCTCAAAGAATTAAATGAGTTAAGACTTATAATAGTGTCTGACACATAGTGACCACTCAGTTACCTTTAGCTTTTATTATTTCAATAGAAGATCTCTTTTTTCCTTTTACACTAGCTTTAGGAGCAATACAAGACGTTTTAAAAGCCAACATGCATCTCCAGTGTCAGGATAAATCACATTGAGTTTTTTGGTTAAACATAAAAAAATGAGTTCATTGTATACTTTATATTTTGTTTTTAATATGTAGCATCTTAAAATTTTTATATGGTTCAATATGTACTTTTGTTGAGCAATTTGAAAAATGATCTATATCGTTTATAAGAATGATTTCTTTTACAGTTAAGTTAAGTCACAGTGAACAAAGGGAAAAAATAAAAGACATTTCCAGAGAATGTGCTTTAAAAGCCATTGAACAGAGAAACTTACTTTCCTCACAAAGGAAAGATTTGGAGAGGGGACAAAGGAAAGATTTGGGCCGACATAAAGGTAAGTTAGAGCTTATAGTGTTCATTTGAAAAGGAGTTGCTAAAATCTTATTTTTAAACTAAATTTTATAACTTTAATACAACTTAATATAATTTATATTTATTATATATATTTGTTTACATGTTATATATCTCAATATTATTTCTTTAATACGCCTATTATATCTATAAATATAAAACTTTTCTGGTTCTTATTTAATTGTGGTGTGGAATACTTGTGCTTGTTCTAATGTTTGAACTTTCCTTTTAATTATAAATTCAACTCACCCATATGGTACATTCAAATAAGAAGGAAGGTTATAAAATTAAGTGAGAAGAGCAACTCCTCACCTTCCCTCTGTTTCACTGTTAATAGTGTGCAGTTCATTATGAGCATGTCTTACTCTTTATGGCTTTATCCTCTTTTCTTTATGGACATACCACAATTTAAATGATACTTGCTAGACTTTAAAACTTGATTTAAGATTTTTGCTGCAGTGATATCCTTTTACATGTACCTTTGTGTCCTTTTTTGTGTATAGCCAGAGCATAAAATTATTTCAGGAGAATTGCTGGGTTGAGGTGTGTTTATTCTTAATTTTGATGGATGTGGCTCAGTTGCTCTCCTAAAAGACTGAACCAGTCTGCACTCCCACTGACTGTGATTAGATGTCTGCTTCTTCACATTCTTAGCAGCAGTTGGCTTAACAAACTTTAAATCCTTACCAGTATAAGAGATGGAAAATACTTTTATTATTATGACTTTCATTAATGATGAGTGAGATAGAATACTGGCTTTTTTTTTTTTTTTTTAAATTTCATTAATGATGAGTGAGATAGAATACTGGCTTTTTTTTTTTTTTTTAAATTTCATTAATGATGAGTGAGATAGAATACTGGCTTTTTTTTTTAAAAGCTTTAATTATGATCTACTTTAGAGGTCATTTTCTAAAATCAGTATATAACTACTTACCTTATAAATGCCTCTCATTAAGCATAGAGAATGAGGAAAACACTTTTCAGTGTTAAATCACTATGTGATATAATATAAATCTTACAATTATTATTCACTTATTACTGCTTAACATTTCTTCTCAAACAAGGTATTTGGCTTGTAACTAAGAAATGTCTCTGAAGAGTATTCATTTGTATCTTTATTTAATTATTTAAAGATTTGGTTGATGAAGACCTTCCACATTTCAAGTCTGGATCACCTCCTGCCCCAAATGGCTTTAGACAATATGGAAACCCACATCTCTATCATAGTCAAGGAAAAGGACCATGTAAACATGACCGAGTTGCCCATCAGAGTCGAGCTTCTGCACAAATACTGAGTTCAAGTAAATCCCAGATTCTTGCCCCAGGAGAGAAAGTAACTGGCAAAGTTAAGAGTGACAGTGGCACTGGATATGATACAGACAGCAGCCAAGATTCTAGGGATAAAGGAAGCAGCTATAGTGGCAGCAGTAAAAGCCGGACCCGAGGTTGGAAACCTATGAGAGAAACGTTAAATGTTGATAGTATTTTTAATGAAAGTGACAAAAGACAGCATAGTCCAAGACATAAATCAAATATCAGTAACAAACCTAAATGTAGCAAAGATCAGAGTTTTAACAACTGGCCAAAAGAAAACCCAAAGCAAAAATGTTTAATGACCATATATGAAGATGATATGAAGCAGGAAATAGGAAGCAGGAGTTCCCTTGAATCTAATGGAAAAGGAGCAGAGAAAAATAAAGGCCTCAAAGAGACTAAAGTTCATGGTGACAATTGGCAGATGCAAAGGACCGAGTCTGGATACGAAAGTAGTGATCATGTCAGTAATGGATCTGCTAATTTGGATTCACCTGTTATCGATGGAAATGGTACAGTAACGGATATCAGTGGTGTTAAAGAAACAGTATCCTGCAGGTAATGCACAAATTAAATGAATGATTTTCCCCCATCATTCTCTCCTGTTATGCGAAGTAATTTCAAAGTCTGGGGTCAATTAAGTGTAATGGAAAGAGCTTGACTTCAGAGTGAAGAGACCTCTGGGATATTGCAGGTTGATAGTTCAGGTTTCTGTTTTTAATAATTATTTCCTGATCCAAAAATATTTTTAGGAAATTTTAAAAGTACAGAAATACATTGTTATTGTTGCCACTGATAACTATTAATACATACTACAGGTTTTAAAGCATAGATTTAAATTGGTGGCGTCTCAGTCATTAAGCTAATTATTTAATTCTTCAGTCTATTTAATGTTCATTATCCCATCTGTAACTCAGAGCTGGGGATATTTTCTACTTTCACAGCCAGTTCCATGGAAGAGAGATTTTTTCCTTTAGCAAATATAAAAGAACGCAGCCAAATAACTAAGTCTGTGTTCAATTAATTTTTAATTAATTCTGAATATATTTGTATGTTACTGTTAGCAGTACATTTGCCCTTTTCTGTGTAACCTCTAAAGCATGTCCACAGCTTAATTGGCTGATTTCTTATGTCAGTCTAGTCACAATTTCTGCTTTTAATCCACCTAAAACATCTTAATTTGTCATTAGCTGGTGTTTTATCACATTTATTATTAAAAAGCCAGATTTGCAAAAATCAACTGCTTGTATTTTATTAAAATAATCATTGCAATAAAGACTTAAAACTTTTTTATTTGGCAGGATAATACCATAACACCTCTTGGAAAGGGGTAGCCTACGGTAGTAGAAAGATCAGATAGACAACAGGATAGACTTGGATCTTAAGTATTGGGCAAATTAATTTGACTTTGACAGCCTTATAAGCCTGTTGTAAAACGAGGATAATAACTACTTTTAAGTGTTGCTGTGGCAATGTAAATTAAATAATGCACATTAATCCCCTAGAACACATGTCATATAATTGCTTAACAAATGTTATTTCCTTTCTTTTTCTTAGATTCTAACTAAAATAATAATTCATGGTAGCTGATGTATTTGGTGTATGTTTTCTTCTGTTTTCTAGTGACCAGGTAAAGACAAACAACCTAAATATAGAATGTGTCAGCTCTTCCTCCCAGCAGAGCAAAAACTACTTAGAAGGTAAAATTTTATTTACATATATTGTAATAATAGCTATAAAGAATAAATTGTGGTAATAAGGGGCGCCCGGGTGGCTCAGTTGGTTAAGCGACTGCCTTCGGCTCAGGTCATGATCCTGGAGTCCCAGGATGGAGTCCCACATCGGGCTCCCTGCTTAGCGGGGAGTCTGCTTCTCCCTCTGACCCTCCCCGCTCTCATGCTCTCTATCTCATTCTCTCTCTCAAATAAATAAATAAAATCTTTAAAAAAAAATTGTGGTAATAAGAGTAAAGAAGCTAGGAATAGTCCTGTTACTGATAAGATTATGAGTAATGAGGATGGAAGTTAAGAGAGTTCATGCTTTTAAAGGCTTTGAAAGGATGGGAATAGCTACTTCAGGGAACTGGCAGAGAGGGGAATGTTAGTCAGGATAGGCTAGGTTCTAGGCTATGCAGTGGTAACAACTTCAAAATCTCAGTGTGTCAACACACATTTGATTTTTGCTGATGATATATGACCAGTGGAGGCCCGCATGGAGTCTCTTCCTAGAAATCACTCAGTGCCCCACTCAGTGCTCCATAGATGCTTCTCAGAACCTTGCAGTGTTGTGGGGAGAGGAGATTGAGGGAGGACACAACAGTCACTTAAAACTTCAACCCAGAAGTGATACATGTACTTCCACTCACATCTCATTGGCCGAGGCAAGTCTTATAGACAAGCCTAATTTCAAAGAGTATGGAAAAGTACAATCTTACCTGTGCCTGGAAGGTGAACTGAAATGTGTGTGGACAGTCCTGATGTCTGCCACAGGAGTTAGGGACAGGATAGAAAAATGGATAAGCAGCCTGTTGGAAAAGTTCAGTTTGGAAACAGTAAATATATTAATGGGGTGGCATTATTATAGGTGATTCACTACCCACACAAAGCAGCCCAGAAACAAAATTAGATGTTTGAATGTGTATAGAATTCAGGGCTGCTAATGAGAGGATATACCTGAAGGATCTGGGAGAGAAAGATCGAGGAAAAGGATGAGCAAGGGGATTATTGAGGTTGCAATCAAAACCATTATTTTCACATGTTAGAATTCAGAGGATTAGAAGAGATACAATTTTTCACAATAAAAAGCCATGAAGAACAAATTTTAAAGTTTGTTTTTAATCTTTATCATTCTTAAGGCTTTTGTGGAGATTATTTTAAGGTTACAGACTTTGAATATGATTAAATGTTAAATCATTTTGTTTTTATCAAGTGGTATAATATCAGAAGGAAACACTTATATTAAGGAAATAACCTTCCTTTCCTATATAAAATGTCTTGCCTCTTTTAAAAATCTGATAAAAGTCTGGTAAGCAAGTATTACAGGAAACAGTAAAGGGCTGGCCAGAAATCAACAGCAGAAGTCGGTGAAATTGAACAATAACCACAAGTTCAGTGCTTTTTACAAAACGATGCTTGCTTCCTGATAGTAATAAAAACACAACGTCATAGAGATTTTGATGGTCAAGAATGCATTGCTATAAGAGCTTTGCAGTGGTTTTCCCCATTTAATACGAAAGAGTATGTATGTAACCTACTTAAAAATATTTTTTTATTGTGGAAAAAAGATATTTTTTATTGTGGTAAAATACACATAACAAAATTTGCCATTCTAACCATTTTTAAGTGACAGTTCAGTGGTATTAAGAACATTCACATTGTTGTACAACCATCACTACCATCCACCTCCAGGTCTCTTTCAACTTCTCAGACTGAAATTCTGTACCCATTAAACAATTCTCTATTTTCCCCTCTCTCCCAGCCCCCAGTAACTACCATTCTACTTTCTGTCTCTATGAATTTGACTACTCTGGGTACCTCAGATAAATGGAATCATACAATACTTGTTTTTTTTGACAGGCTTATTTCACTTAACATAATGTCTTCAGAGTTCATCCACGTTGTGGTATATGTCAGAATTACATTCCTTTTTAAGGCTGAATGATGTTATGTTGTATGATATAACACATTTTGTTTATCCATTCATCTTTTGATGGACATTTGGGTTGTTCCTGTCTTTTGGTTATAGCGAGTAATGCTCTTATGAACATTGGTATACAAATACCTGAGAATTCCTGCTTTCATTTCTTTTGAGTATATACCCAGAAGTGCAATTGCGGGATTCTGTGGTAATTATGTGTTTAATTTTTTGAGGAACCGCCACACTGTTTTCAACAGCTGCTACACTATTTTACGTTCCCACCAGCAATGCACAAGGGTTTCAACTTCTCCATATTTTCACCAACACTTGGTGTTTTCTGGGGTTTTGTTTTGATAATTATCACCACTAATCACTAATAAGTGTGCAGTGGTTTCTTACTGTGGTTTTATGTAACCCACTTATTTAACCACATAAATTACATTATGTCAAAATTATTTCTTATTTAATTAATGTCAAAGCCTACCATAGTTCTTTAAGCTGGTCTTTGGTTTGAGAATCTTTGTTAATGTTCCTGCCTGATGGTGTCTCTATGTATTCCCCTCCCCGACCCTTTGAGAACATGTTAAAGTAGTATAGGAATTTTTTTTCCCAAGCCAAAAACATACCCTGTGTGGATTTTTGTTTTCGGTAAGGCACAATTTAATTTAATTCTTTGTGATTTGGGATGACTTTCTTTATTTTCTCCTACTTATTTGTAAAATGGGGGCACACTTATATTATTGGCCTGAAGAATCACTTTCTGTAAGTAGCTAACAGATTTAGAAAGTTAAGGCGCTTTAGAAATTTTTTTTATTTTCATATTTTGTTTGATATTTAAGTGAGTTTTTACTACAATCCAAACAAATTTGTTTTATGTCAGAGAACGAAAAATCTATAGTAGTGCCATCGTAATTATTTCTTGGTATTTTTTCACTGACAAAGATATTATGTAGATTTCTCTGCCTATGTCATGGGCTCTGCTGCCTAAAGCTATTATTTGGGAACATTGTTGAAATTTCACAGTGCCATTTAGATCATTTTAGCTTCTCTTTTAAAATGGGTCACTGATTAGGAGAATTTCAAATGCCTTAAATTACATTCAGGACAGACTATATGTTCAAAAGTACATGGTTGGGAGAAAGTATCACATATTGTAATAATACAGGTAGTTTGGTCTATGCAAGGCTGAGTGTGTTTGTGGAAATTGTGAGATAATAGAGGGTAGATAGAAGCCAAATCATGATGAAACTTTTATGCTATTTTTAAATCCTACAGTAAGTGGAAAGGCACCAGAGGACAAGGAGAGGAATATATTCCAGTTGGCATTTTTGAAAGACTGGTGGCAATCTAGAGGGTGATTTTGGAGCAATGAGAGAAACATTAGTTAGATGACTATTTGAACAGCCTGGAGAGAAAGTGGGGGCGTAAACTAAGGCAGTACCAGTATCACAGAGGAAGATTTGAGAGTTTATAAGAATGTGTAGACAGTGGAGTCAGTTTTTATAACAGATGTACAAAAGGGAGGAAAAGGAGGAAGCTGGGCATAGCTGTTATCTAAAACTGGCATAAGTAGATACACCATTTACCGAATCAAAGAATATAGGAAGAAGAAACAACTTTTGGGGGATGAGAGGAGACACCAAATTTATTTTTGGATTTGTTTATCATCTAGGTAAATAGATTTTTCAGGCAGTTAAGGACATATGTCTACAACTCAGGAGAGGTGATATATCTGGTAACCAGTCGCATATATGGGAATTGAATGCCATAGACGTGGGCTGCATCACTCAGGAAAACTGGAGACAAAGCAAAAAACTTGGGGTTTGCTGAGTAAGAGAGATGAGCTAAGGATAGAGAGAAAGAGCAACTTTGGGAAAGTATGAGGAGTAGCTAAAAGGTATGAGAAAAGGAGAGAAGATTATCACAGGAAAACCAGGAAAATGGGGAGCTTCAAGAAGACAAGTTGCCACAGATTGAGCAGAATAAGGATAAAAAATGTGGATTTTTTTTAAGGATTAAAAATTTGATTTAGCAGTTAGTAAGTCATTAGTGATAGAGGAAAAGCAGTTTTAGAGGAACATTAGAAATGAAGCAAGCTTGAGGTAGGACTGAAGTATTTAGAAGTAAAGGCCCATGATGTTTGTAACTTAAAGTGGTTCAGGAAAAAATGTTAATGGGTGAATCTGGGTAAAGGGTATACAGGTATTCTTTGTACTAGTTTAATTTTTCAGTTTTTCTGGACTTTTTAAAGTTATTTTCAAATAAAATGTCTTAGAAAATTATAGTACAATAATAAGTTAATAAAAGAGAAGTAAAGAAATGTCTGTTTAAAGAAGCAACCAAGAGCTTAGTTTTGTATTTATGTTACAGAGGGTAAGGAACTAATGATGTACAGGGCAAGAGAAAGGTGCTAAGATAAGACTAGAACAGAATAGTAATTGATGAAGTAAGATCTCTGGAGGTAGAAGGAAAATGAAACAAAGAAGGTAAAGAGGCCAGTTAAAGTTTTGTGATTTTTCCCAAGTATTCAAATTTTATTAAAAACAATTTTTTTTATTGTAAATCAGATCATTGATTAGATTACTGCTCTTGAATGTTTTAAGCTTTGTAATTGTAGTTTTACCGTTATATTTTGAAATCTCCCTATACAACAAGAGTGAAGATTACATTGTCTAGACCAGCAGTTTGGTTTTATTGCTACCTAGCCTATTTTAAACATAGGTCATCTTTTCAGATGAAATATATGTTTTGATTTCTTGACTGTTGGGCTTTTTTTAAAAAATAAAGTATCAAAATTAGCATTATTAATTAAAGCTTCTTGCCTGATGTTAAGGTGTCTTCTGTGCCAAGTGTAAAAATGAGACTGTTTTAGATTTGCAAAGAACCTGGAGCCAAAATTCCCAGTAAAGATACATAGATGTCTATGTCAGCAGAAGAGAAAAATAACACATCTATTTTTAAGTTAGTTGGAATTCTGAAGTCAACCACTTGGTTGAATGCCTGCCATAGTGTTATTAAAATTTCAAACATGTTTATAAGACCTCTGCTGCCTCCTGCTGTCTGTTCTTGGATACGTTAATAATAGTGAAGTGTTTTTTAAGAATTAAGTGTTTTTTCTAGTGTTTGTGAATAATAAACCCGAAATTATGGATAAGTTAAGTAAACATTCTGAAGTTAAAATCAAGATGAGTGGAGAATTATAATGTAACTTCAACTTAACAAATTTTTCAGGCTGAAAAATTATTGAAGTTCTTTTTGTTGACATTACTTTTTTTTAATCCCCCCCCCCCCCATCATAAAGTAGCTGTTGAAGAGAGAGGCTGTTTTTGAACCTCAGCAGTGGGTCAGGCTTACAAGCAACTAACACTCTCTGGGATAAATTATACTGCCTTTTATTTTTAAGATTTGTGTAAGTGTGGCACTTGATAGACTCAAGATAGGTCAGGGGGAAAGGTAAGAAGAATTTGTCTCAGTTTATACTTATCTAGTCCTGGTTCTGTGAGTCGGGAACATGGTGGACAGGGTGGGGATGATTTAAAAGAAGAAAAACAGTTAGGTTTTCCATGTGATTGCTTATTCATTCTCTAGACTTTCATTGAATGTCTTTTATGTGCTAGATATTGTGCAAGGGGAAACAATAACAAAAAGGGGACATACTGTCCAATAGAAAGAGCTTACTGCAATCTAGTGATGTAGGAGTGTGAAATCCTAAGCAAATAAATGCCAGACTTATAGTTCCCCTCATTCTACTATCTTAGGCTTTTATTAGAAGGTAACATTTACTGTGTAAGCAATATTGCATATAGGGTATTAAATTCTCTTATGTATTATACAACTGTTTCTTGGAAATTCAAGATTTAACTTGCAGAGGCTGATGATAATCAAATATAGATTTTTCACAGGATAATATTTAGATTTTAGATCAACTATAGATTCCAGTTGAATTTTGACTGACAGAGTAGTTTTTAAAAAAGTACCCAGAAGATCAACTTAGGGATAAAAACCATCAAAGATAAAATTCTTTGTTATTGTTTAAAAAATAAAGTTCCTGCTTTAATAACTTTTTGTTTTCTTTGCAATCTTCAATTCATAGACTTGGAGTACAGTCAGAAGCATGAGAATGAAAGGAAATGTAAATGAACATGATGAAAATGCCATCTAAAAATAAGGGAGGATACTGAAAACTTACTAGAATTTTACAGAAGCTTAGGGAATTAATTGAATATTCAAGCTAAAGCCATATATTTTGATATCTTCTGTGGCCCTAGTTTTGTCAGGAGGAGATTCGGTATGACGATCTAGGATTTTAGTGGCGTATGAGAAAGAGAGCTTGCAGGTAGTGGAAAGAGCACCGGCTTTGGAGTTAGCTCTGGACTGGTTTAAATGCTGTCAGTTACCCAGTTATATAGCATCACTTGGGTCACCCAACTTCCTTGGGTAGAAAAAGGAAAATTGTTTCACAGAACAGTTGTGACTGAGATTTTTTAAAGACTGTTTTCAATCAACTGAAGCAGTGCTTTGACCTCAGGATATCTTTATACTATTAAAAAATATTGAGGACTTCAAAGAGCTTTTGTTTTGATGGGCTATATATGTTAATAATTACTGTATTAGTCTTTAAAATGGAAAATTTATTCATTTAAAGAATGATTTACTTATGCATGATTTTCTAACATCAGTATATCCTTATTTGGAAAATACTGGTTTGCTAAATTATGCAAGTCTTCCAGATGTTGATACATTTCTTTATATTTTTTTAAAAAAACACCTTTGTTAATATTACCACAAATATTAGCAGAAAGCCTTTATAATTTTTGGGAAGCTAAAAACTCATGGTGGTGGATACAAGTTTTCCAAAATTCTTATTTTCATCTAAAAATTTGAATTTTATCAGTGGCAATAAATAACTCTGGTTGTTTTCCTTGAAATGACAGGTTCACTTTTTTAATTTTCAAGAAAATTTCTGCCAGATACCCAAGTCTGAATAACCAGAATCTATCTGTTATCTTTCAAGTAAAAAATAATGTTCAACTTTAAAGATTAAATGAAATAATTATTATGAACCTCTTACAACTTGAGTCAGCAATCAGAAAATGGTAGCTACAGAGTGATGATCTTAACATTTTACATGTTAATCATAATACCTTCCCACATGTTTTAATTCAGTTGACATTCCTAATGTTCCTGTGAGGAAGGTAAAATAGGTGTCATTACCTCATATAAATGAGGAAACTGAGATTATAAGGAATTGAGAGGTTTGCTTAAAGCTACTAGCCAATAAGTAGTGAATCCAGACTTCAACCCAAGCCATCTGTCTTCAAATGCAGGATTTCCCCACCATTTTGTCAGCAAAGACTATGTCTTATATGACAGGGGAAACACATAGCTCCCCACAGTCAAACAGCAATAGCGTTATCTGGACATTGCTAACGTTTTCAAGTGATGATAGAAACAGCCATTTATTTTGTATGAAGTATTCAGAAAAGACATATTATTTGAGCTGAATCTTGAAGAATTAATTTTGTTTGTTAGTTGTAAGAGAATTACCTATTTGTAGGAAATGTAAATTATGGAGAAGTATATGCACAGTAAATTAAAAAAGGTCATTTAAATAATTTTGTTTTTCTCTCTCCTAGCCTCAGGCTTTAGAAGAGAACTCAAGAATTTGGAAGTAGGCTATAAATCTCATGAGTTCCACCCAGAGTCACATCTACAAATAAAAAATCCTTTGATGAAAAGGTAATCGAAGATATTTAGAAACACTAAAATCTTTCATATTAAATGAATGTATTATGGGAACTCTTTATCAGGCCAAAAATCCATATTGCTACTCTGAAAACAATGGGCCTACAATGTTATGATGCCTGTATTATTGGGGATCATTAAAAGGATATAGGCCTAAGGATAGAGGGCCTACAGAGTACCAGGTACAGTACATGATGGTTATAATCCTCATAGCATTCTTATGAGGTGGGTGGTATTTAATAAGAGAAAATTAGGGGCTTTTATTAAGTAATTTTCTCAAAGCAGTGGAGCTGAAATTTGAATGCAGCTCTTATCTACCTAGCAAAGCCTCTACTCTTTTCATCATTTCACTCTAATTGAATTCCATGCAATTCATGTGAGAAAAATAATTTTCATGACAAAAATAATTTGCAATGTGATATCATTTATCTTCATCTCAGAAGTTATTACCTAAAAAAGGTAATCTTGATTAAATTATTTTTAATTTGTATACCATCCTTATAGCATTGTATATCAAAGTTGTCTCTATTGGTATAAGCTTTGTAATGTTGGTCAAGAAGTGTTTTAGGGTATTAAAGTGTTTGCTTATAACATTTGTTTTTTTAAGTCTATGCTACTTTTTATTACAAATAAATGTAATTTCAGTGTTTGTAAGTTGAAATGAAATTTTTTTAGTTATGCTTCTAATTATTAGAGATCTAATTTTGGTAATGACAGGTGTTTCTGGCATTCATGTATTTTGGCATACATTTTGGAGTCAGTATAAAATGATAATGGTTACAAATATCTTCCCATTTCTGTTATGTTACAAAAATAATATCAGGTATATATTGAGAAGTTAAACTACGGACAAATGTTTGTTTTTCCTCCAATTTTGCCTTTTAGCTTTGTCCTTGTTTTTATGTTGCAGGTCACAGATACGTGAAACCAATGGAAAGTTATTCCCTTCATCAGGTCCACAGATACTCAAGGACAATGCAGCAAAAGAGCATATCCACCAGTCAGGTGAACAGAAACTTGAAACTCCAAGTGAATGCAAATTTTCTGAGTGGCTTAATACCGAAAATTCTGAGAGAACAGGTTTATTTTTTCATGATGATAATTCTGCTCCTGGAAAGAGAATGAACAATAATGAAGTAGTCTCATCATCTTCACTGTGGTCTTCACACATGAGATCTGTTGGGGTAAAGCCAGAAACTTCTCCCCTCATCCAGCAGCAAACTATGACGGAACAATGTTGCTCTGAGAACTCTCTGTCCAGGGAACGTATCATTCAGTCAACCTGCAGGTCTGATGGTTGTCAGATGCCAAAACTTGTTAGCCATAATCCACCACCTCCTTTGCCACCAAAGAAATATGCTATAACCAGTGTGCCACAGTCAGAGAAAAATGATCCCACACCTAATGTAAAACTTACAGAGATGTTTAAAGCTAATTCTTCTAGTCTTCCAAAGCACAGTTTAAATTTGGATTCAGAACCAGGTTCAGAAGTAGGTACGTATATGAATGATCAAAGACTTAAGGAAACATTTCAAATAAAAGAGCATGTTGGCAACACATCAAACTACCTGTCAAGCTTTTCAACTAAAGATTTTCAGGCAGACTTGGGTACAGTTGTTGATACATTTTGCCAACCAGAAATAGACTCTAGTTCTATCTGTCCAAATGAGACCATTTCATTAACTACCTATTTTTCAGTTGATAGCTGCATGACTGATACATACAGACTGAAATACCATCAGAGACCCAAGCTCTGTGTTCCAGAAAGCGGTGACTTTTGTAATGATCATGCAATATCTCAGAGTGAAAGAGGGCTAGCACCTGTGTTACACAACAGTCTTGGTTCAAACTGCCCTTCTGAGCAGAGATACAAACCTAGTATACACTGTAATAGATAAGTGATGAAACTGGTAAGCTTATACTTCTCAGAGGCCGTGAAAATATAATAGGAATTGACTGACGAAACCTGGTGATACATGAAACTAAAACCGTGGCATTTTTAAAGTCATTAATCACTTTAATTTTCTATATATATTTTTTATTTTGTGATCAATTTATTGGATATTTTAGAAATTCCCTTTGAATAGTCTTGGCGTGCCTGCAAAACAGAAAATCAGAAGGTATGCAAAAAGTCACTGCTGCAGTTGAATAAAAATGTAATTTGTTCCTTTATATGTGGCTAGTAGACCCATAAGTATTAAACTAACCAGTACACACATTTGTAGATTGGTAAACTATGCTAATTGAAAAATACCAGGTGATACATAGTTTGTGTAGTCAAAGCAGTATTTGCTTTATGAAGAAGCACTTTCTTTCTAATGGGTAACCAACCAAAAGAGGGCTTCACCCATTTGTTTTTGACTTCTGTGATAGTCTACTACCTATGATCCCTTTAAGTGTCTTAAAAAATAGCAACCCATGAAATTGATAGCATTTGTGGGGGGAGCCTTAATGATAAAGCAGCTTTTAAATTCTTAAGGTCAGAACAGAAGAAACTTAATTTTGCTCCTAGAACTTTAATCTTCATAATGCCTCGTTAACATAAATTAGGACTTTGACTGTTGTATCATAAACTTACTTCAGCCATGTAAGCTAAAAATAAGTGAAATTCTTAACGTTAGTATATTTATTTGTTACATTTTTTTCTAATTTTATATGAGATGTGAAAGGTTTTATTTTCGTTTGGTTTATTTTGGGCTGCTAATAACCAGTGTTAGGAATTTAACTTAAGGCCCACTGGGGATGTCACTGTGACTGCCTAAATTTTCCCTGCTATCATCTTAACCTCTCTTTATAGGTCGTCAACCCATTTTAATGATTTTCAGATTCTTGAATCCGAGTACTTCTGGGTTCCAGATTCAATTTCTACTTTCATATAGAGGGTTTAATTTTAATGAAATGTATTAATTTGAGCATCCCTCCCATTTTTCTAAACAGTCATTTTACCCTACTTTCACGGGGAGGGCTTTTTTTTTTAAATAAAGAAATTTTCCATTATCATTATGACCTTATAAATGCAATTAAGTTACATTAATTGCTTTATTTCATTAGTTGTCATTTTATTTTGTACTAAGTTGGTAAATGTATTGTGGCTAAGTGTTGTATTGTCCATGTAAGAAAATTGAAAATTACAGAATTAAAAATTTTCTTACATTAATAAACTTCATACATATAACTTAATTCTATAAACTGATTATTAAATTTAATGTTTTGACCAGCTCCATAAATTGTTAAAATATTCTAAAATGTAAATGATTAAAAATAAGTATTCCTAAATATAAAATAATTGCTTGTAAAAACCTAATCTCACCCAGTTAAGAAATCTTGCTCAATTATTGTCTTCCACCTAGAGAAGTTTTTACTAGCCTTTTCTAACTGTAACAGTAGGGTTGTTATTAGTTTATATTCTCTTAATTTAGAAATACTTGAATATGAACTATATTATATTAAACTTTTATCTTTTAAGAAAGCTTATTTTTAAATAACTTTTAGTATGGAGGGTTTGTAAATACTGTAAAGTTTCTAAAATTGTATTTGAAATATCATTGTATTTAATTACTGCTTTTATAACATTGTAAAAATACTAAAAAATGGGTTTCAATATTTTTAATAACTTTGAAAAACTTTGTCTAGCTTTTTTTTAAGATTTCTATTTGGTCAAGATGTCCAGTTAAAAATGTATTATTTGAAACATATAAACTAATTTCTGGTATTTAACAGCAGTCTCATAGATTTGTATTTTCAACTCACAGTTGAGTTGCAACATCAAATAGAAATATCTAATTTTGGCTCTTTTTAAAGTAATGTCCAATTGAAACCACCTGAATCATGTAATAGTACTAACAAACTAGGAACTGTTTTTGTTGATTCAACACTCCAAATACAGATTTGAATACATAATTACTAACTATTCACATGTAAAATTTTTATTTCTAGAGTACCTAATTTTTATACGTGTTTTCTTCTGGTTATAAAATTATGGTAACTTCTGAAATAATGCAACCAATAATTATTGTAATGTTCAAAATACTTATCTTCAGACTGTTGATTTTTCTGTGAAATCAGTTTCTTCCGGTTCAGAATTTTTTAAGATAAACTGATTTTGGGGGCGCCTCAGTGGCTCAGTCGTTAAGCATCTGCCTTCGGCTCAGGTCATGATCCCAGGGTCCTGGGATCGAGCCCCACGTCGGGCTCCCTGCTCAGCGGAGAGCCTGCTTCTCCCTCTCCCACTCCCCCTGCTTGTGTTCCCTCTCTTGTTGTCTCTGTCAAATAAGTAAATAAAATCTTAAAAAAAAAAAAAGATAAACTGATTTTTATGTTAACATGGTTGGACTTTTCTGTGCATTCATGAATTGTGGCTTCCTCTCCTCACATGTTGATTATGTATTTTATGAGAAATTAAGTCACCTTAAAGTTCAAGGGTACTTGGAGTATCACTAATCATAAAATGTTATCACTACAGGCTCCTAAAAGTGTAGCTGCAGTGAGGTCTAAAGCAGGGCTCAAAGGAGTTGGCAAACTTTCTATAAAGAGCCAGATAGATAGTAAATAATTTGATCTTGGTGGACCATAGGGTCTTTGTAACAAACAACTACTCAATTCTGCCACTGTAGCGAAAGAAGCCATAAATGGTATGTAAATGAATGGCATGTTTGTGTTCCAGTAAAACTTTATTGACGTTGAAACTCGATTTCATATAATTTTCAAATGTTATGAAATAGTCACTTGATTTTTTTCAACCATTATAAAATGTAAAAATCATCCTTAGCTCACGTAGTGAGTCAGATTTGGCCCATTGGCCATAGTTTGATGATCCTTATCCTCGAACATAATTTACATTAAGTAACCTTAATGACCTTAAATAAATTATCCTGTAGTCTCTGAATGATTCCCATGCCATTTAGGGACTAGATACACGGAGAGGTTTCTGTCCTGAATTTTCAGGTTCATAGACTCCTAAATCCTAAAGACTTTGTCACAGTTACTGGTCAGCCAGTTCATTTCAAATGGTTATTAAAATAATCATTTCATTTATATGAAATTAAGTCTGAAATTTACAAAGGAATTTATCAGATTAAAATCACATTGATGTTATTCTTGGTTTTCGTCATAGCAAGTCTGCCAACTTTTCTTGGTGTCCCATTCATCCTTTAGCTTTACCTAGTTAAGTGTGGGTGTTGTAAGCACTCACTGTACTTGAGATGGCACAGTATGTATAATTTCTTATTCATCCACTGTAGAAAAGATTCACCCTCATACTGGAACCATTTCTGTATACCATTTACAGTCATGTCATAACACCAAGACCTTGCTACCTTCCCTCTACTAGAAATTTTCAGAATATTCAATAGTTGTGGTAGTGGGCTGATTTTAGCCTCAGAAACATAAAATTATAAGTCTTTGTAACACAACATTAAACTACATGAGAACTGTTAATCCTTTCAAAACCCTGCTACCTACCAAGTAATTTGTTTAAACAAATGCAAAATCCGAATCAGACCAAATTTAGCTATACAATAAATATTGATTGGACAAAATTATTAGCAAGCAGCAGAAAAACAGTTCATACTGTTTGATATGCTCAATGAAATTCCAGTTTTGTGTTTCTTTAGATGCATCAACCTTTGCATAAAAGGTTCTCTCCAAGTAGATGCGATAGTACCCTGGAGGCATAACTGTTACCTTGTATGGGGAATAGGCAACTAAAATCTTCCAAAATCAGTCCTGGATTTCATTCTAACGCCATGGAGAGGGTGTAGAGTTTACCAGATCTATGCTCTTCTTTCTAAGGGAGGTGAATATCCTCAAAATATTTAGGCAATTCACATGTATCAAATGTCACCAATTTCAACAAGAGCCCATATCTATTTTTTTTTTTAAGATTTTATTTATTTATTTGACAGAGACACAGCGAGAGAGGGAACACAGAGGAAGAAGCAGGCTTCCCGCCGAGCAGGGAGCCCGATGCAGGGCTCAATCCCAGGATCATGACCTGAGCCAAAGGCAGACGCTCAACGACTTTGCTACCCAGGTGCCCCTGCAAGAGCCCACTTCTAACATCTGTTACATAAAGGAGTATCTGTTATATAACAGGACTAGCTTCTGAAGGGCTTTTAGTAGCTGCTTTGGGAGTGTGACCTTTCTGATTAAACACCAGCTGTTCACTCCTAGAATGTAAATTCTTAACTAACATTTAGATATAAAAGAATGTAAGCTCCATGAAGGCAAGGATTTTTTGTCTTTTTTGCTTACTACTGTACCTGGCCGCGTAAGTGATCAAATATTTGCTGAAATGACTTTGCTGAAGTATTTAAGGTACAGACATTATAGAAACAAAAACATATATTAGCTACAAGCATTCTTAATACAATCACAATAATATAAAATAGGTTTCAAACACAGTCCTATTTTAGGGAAGTTCGGGAACTTAAAATGAAGCAAGGGGAAGCATCCAGGTAAGAGGACATGCACACTAGATTTCCAATGTTGGATATTTATACTTTCTCTGAGATTGTATCAATCTGGCAACCATAACAGAGGCCCACTTAATCTAAAAATTAAATTGGTACTTAACAGCCAATACATTTTGGGCCTGCACTTTCTGTACAGCTCTTAACTCCTTTTTCTTCCATTGCTTTTGAGTAATTTATTTTTAAATACTTCACCTTAATATTTCACCACATTTTTGCACCATACTAAACCCTGGCTAATCCTTAAAATGTTAAAGGCAAGACATTACCATATTTGTTAATGAATACATTAAACCTTTACGTATAAATGCTTTAATATGCAGGCCCTATAAAGCTATCAGATGTCTGAAAAGTTTTTAAACATGAATCAAAGAGTAGTTATAAGAACTTAAGCTATGAATGGGTGAGATTACCCATTTAATATAGTCCCCAAAAGGAATAACAAGAGTATGTAAAATGAAAGAAAGTCCCTCAGAGTTTAAAATTCTGTTGCACAATCCTGTCTTCTATGTTCAAGAAGTTTGTAGTCATTTTCAGAATCCACTCCAGAAGCCAACTTCTTAATCTAGACATCAGGCAAACCATTCTGTAAAAACCAAATATTTGTCAACAATGTCTCCTTCCATTTTTTTTTTTTTTTTAAAGATTTTATTTATTCGACAGAGACCCAGTGAGAGAGGGAACACAATCAGGGGTGGGGTGGGAGAGGGAGAAGCAGGCTTCCTGCGGAGCAGGGAGCCCGATGTAGGGCTCGATCCCAGGATCCTGGGACCATGACCCGAGCTGAAGGCAGACGCCCAACGACTGAGCCACCCGGGCGCCCCTGTCTCCTTCCAGTTTTAATACTTTACCACAATATCTGAAAATCTAGATTGTCTCAGTCACTTTCCTATTCCTAAATGATTTACATATTGTTAAGAAAGAAAAAAAGGCCTGGAGTATTCCTCCTATGGCTTCCATTTTCTACCCAGAGCTGAAAACTGTCTTTTTTTTTTTTAAGATTTTTATTTATTTATTTCAGAGACAAGAGAGTGGGAGCAAGGGGGCAGGGACAGGGAAAGAGCTCTGCACTGAGTGTGGAGCCCAATATGGGGCTCGATCTCACGACCCTGAGAGATCATGACCTGAGCCGAAACCAAGAGTCAGACGCTCAACCAACTGTGCCACCCAGGCGCCCTTGAAAACTGTCATTTAAAAAAAAATAAATCACTATAAATGAGGTATCAGTCTCTACCAAAAAAGGAGGGGAAGTAGAGGAGAGTGAAAACTCTACAAATAGTTTGGCAGAGTATTTTATAGAAATACCCATCTCTTCCATTCACCCACTCAACCCTCTGCCTTTTTTTTTTTAAGATTTTATTTATTTGACAGAGACAGAGAGTACATGGATTGAGAAAAGTTAATTTATGTTGAGTCAACAACTCCAAAGTCCAAGAGAGCTCCCTGATGTCCAAATGAGCTGCACTGCATTTCTTCCACAGGCCCTCCCTCCAGCTCACGGCTTCGCTCCTGAACTTTTCCCTTACCATCTCAGTCCTGTGTCCCTCTTCTTGTTCTGCTCCCCTGCCCCTTCTCTACCTTTCCTTTCCTTATCCCCTTCCAAAACTGTCTTTTCAGAGTGGGTGGCAATGAAAATGGAGAGCAAGGATTTTGCAAGTGGAACCTACAGAATTTTGTTATTTTAACAGTTGGTGTTTTGGGATGTGTGGGTGTATGTAAAAGGAGAAAATCAAAGAGTCCCAGGCTTCTGGGAGGGGTACTGAATGAATAAAGTTAACATTTACTGAAATGCGGACACTGAAAAATAAGTACATTTTGGTAAGAAGTTAACTAAGAGTTCAGGCTCTGACCTGTTTGAGATACCTACCTGGCCTACTCGAGGTCAAACTGTAGTTACAGTAACAACACCTTCAGTTAAGGGCTTACTGCTGCCAGGCAAAAATGCGAATCGCTTTTAGATAAATTACTATCTCATTTAATCCTCACTACACCCCTATGACCTGGTTACTACTGGTCCCAAATAGTAAATGGAAAAATAAAGCTCAGAAAAGCTAAATAACTTCTTTAATTCCTTTGTGGTAGTGCAGGAACTCAAACCCCGCTGGTTTCATTCCAAAACATAAGAAAAAAATTATGAAGCCAAGTTTCTTCCACACCTCTTTGAAGACCCTCGCTGAGGTGCAAGGAAGAACACTTTCATTCCAGCCTCATCCCGACCCCAACACCACCCGCCCCTCGACCCCGCCATTAACCAGCTATATTATTACCATGGGCATACCATACTCTCTGGAATTCAGTTACCTTGCCTCCCCCCAAACTGTAGTGGTAAGCTCCCTACTGGTTCAGTTCTGCGTTCAGAGTACTCACCATGGTAAAAGATACACGAAGATAAACAACGCTACATCCAAGAGGATGAAGAGCCAGAGATCCAACCAGTAGGAATGCTTTGGAAACCGGTCGGCCCGGGATTGAGACCGCACTTCGTGGTTCTGCTGCTGCCTCCCAGCTTCACCCAAGCCTAGCCGCTCCCGGACACCGTCCCGACCATCTTCCGCAGCTGCGCCCTCTTCCATCTCGCACCAGTCGCCCCACCACGGTCGGAGCACCCAGCACACCCTCACGTCCTGTACTTCCGCGTTCACCTGGCCCTAAACTGGCCCCAGTTTGCCCGGCTACGCATGCGCGCTCCCCATACCCGGAAACGGGCCCGCTGCCCTCTTCTTCCAGCGCGCAGGCGCTGCCGGGAGGTCCGCTGTCTCCGTGACAGCCGGCAGGCAGTGCGGCCAGTACGCGGAAGCGGAGTAAGCTGGTTAGACAGGTTTCGCTAGAAGGAAAAGTCTGTGGCCGCGCCGGAAGTCACCATCAAGTCCCATTCCAAGTCCCATCAAGTCAGGTGTTGGATTCCACCCAGGAACTGCCCACGGCGCCCTTTCCTTATCGCTGTTCCTTGGGGTCCTAATGCCAAAGGTTTAGGGCCCCCTCTGATAGGTTTTGTATTGTGTACATAGCACGTTACGCTTCTTTAATCCTCAAACAGCTATAATGAGATGGACGTCATAATTATGAGCATGAGTTTCTAAGGGGGCCAGAGAGCAAATCGTGAGAATGTTGCATGTACCTCATGAGAGTGAATAAAAGAATAACCCAAAGGTTTGGGAGTGTAATCCCCTACGAGATTAGAGTGCTAGCGGGAAAAAAAATGACCATTGTAAGGGAGGAAAAATTCTCTACCTACCATCTTTGGGTCTCCAACAGGGCCAAATTAAACTGACATAAGACAGATTAACAGAAGAAAAGCACACACGTTTTATTAATTTTTTTTACATGTACATGACAATCTAGGCAAGAGAATGAAGACTCGAAGAAGTCACCAGAACAGAAAGCTTTTATACCTTTTAAACAAAGGGGTTTGGGCCAGGGGTAGTAAATTGTGGAGAAATGCCTAGGAAGATAAACATTAGTGTAACAAGATTGGTTTGTACAGATTTCTCAGCCTGATTTCCCTGTCTCTGGTGATAAGACTGTTTTTCTTCCTCCTGGTAGAGGGAGGGCACCTTTCACATGGGAGTTTTATCTCCTGTCAGGAAGAATTAAGGAAGGTCAGAGTGCCCCTCTTGCACCTGCTGTTTCTCAAGCTCCTTTAACTTAAAATAATCAGTATGACAAAGCAGCATATTTTGGGGTGACATGCTGTGAACTCCTTCATTTCCTCTGTCTGAAAGTTCCTTAGAAGTTTCACATAAAAGCTGAATTGGTGGCTGTGGAAAGAATTGAGTTAGCAGCCAAGTGGCAAGGGATATATCTGCAAAGGGAAAGAAGAGCATAGATTAGAATAAGAATAAATAGGAAATAACAAATCTAAGCACATTTCCTCATACCCCATTAAATCAGTCTCCTATCCCTGGAAATAGATCAGTCCAACAAAATGGCTGGACTTCATTTATCTGATGGAGAGTGTTTATCTTGTCTTTCAAAGGGTGCAGGTTAGACATTATTTGTCCCAAGCCATTTACATAGAAGCAGCATTCTTCAGCAATGACTACATAAGCTCCTCCTTTTGGACTGTCAGTGTGTCTAGGGTGAGGCAAATTTGGAGTGTAACAGAGCCTAAACTATTAACTTCTGTTAGAACGGCTTCTGATGTTCATGTAGTGATACTGAACTCTTGTTCTATTTCTATGGAAAGATTTAGAACTGCCTTTCCAACTCATAAGTTCCAAAGCCTGGGAAAAGGGAGGTTAATATTGATAAAAACTTAGAATTGTGATGCACAAGCCAGTTTTCTGTAACATCACATATAGTATATTTATGTGGCACTAATTTATGATCAAAGGAACCCAAGTTTGTAATTTGGCTGGCATTTAAGGTGGAGTGCCTGGTTACAGAGAGTGTCAGGAATCTGAGTCCACATTATCTTGACCATCTAGGTGGAACTCTTTAACCTTATCATCACACAGGATAAAAAGACCAGTATTGTTCATGGATAAGGTCAGAATGAAACTTGTGACCTACTAAGTTGGGGTTTGGTGTATCTTGTCACCTGTCATGTTGTCATCTGCACATTTCCATCTTCCGTGTATCCCTGTCAGTCTATGGGAGCAGAACAGGTCGTGAAAGATCAGATAGAGGAGGCCTGCAATTAGGCCTTAGGAGCTGTAAGGCTTGGTTTTGTTACGTGACCAGGTGAGTGCAAATTTTTGGGCTCCCCATATGTAATTTTTGGCCTTTGGCAGTTCAGCTGCTCCCAGGTTACACAAGGGTGGCTTGTGAGCCTGCTGTAAAATCTGGTGGTTTGTCAAGTGTCGGTACCATAAGAGTCAGCAATGAGACCATTTCTGACCTTCATGAGAGGCTTGAGGATGCTACCACAAGGTTTGATTGTAATATTGCCTTGGTATGTCATGTGGGAAAGGTCCAGTACCACCGCGATTTTCAGTGCAAAGGGAAAAAAAGTCCCTTCTAATGTCTTTGAGCAAAGGACAGTTCCTGAGCTTCCATAGATGTTTTTCCACGTACAACCGACTCACAAAAAGAGAAGGATGATGTGGTGTTTTGGCCATGGGTGCCATGACCTGTCATGCATCCAGTGATTAGTTAATGTGGCTAGTATTTAGAAAAGTGGTTTAAGGGGGTGTCAGGTCTATGCATAACCTGCTGAGGAAACAGTAAGAGTTACTAAGTGAGACCCGGTTTGAAGGACAGTCCATAGTAGAGGATCAGAGGGAAAGTGGAATAGATTGAGACAATCAATATCCAGTCAGCCTTTTTTTTTTTTTTTTTGAAGATTTTATTTTTAAGTAATCTCTACACCCAACGTGGGGCTCGAACTCACAACCCCGAGATCAAGAGTCGCATGCTCCATGGACTGAGCCAGCCAGGTGTCCCTCCAATCAGCCTTTTAATAAATGGCTAAAGAAAGGGGAGGCTTTGTTAAAAGGAAGTTTTTTTTTTTCTCTTTTTTATTTCCTTCTGGGAGTAGGGAGACCCAATGGGGGAGAAAATAGGTAGAAGTGAAGTTTCTTGATCTGTGATCTTGAGAAAAGCTGTCTACTTCATGATTTTGTCTGCTTTTGGGACCTGGGAATTTGCCTGGGAAATCCTTACTTTAAGGTCACCCTAGGGATGGTCTTCCAATTGTCCTGGGAGTGCTGATCCTCGACTAATTTGGCAGGGCTTGTGTGAATCCAGAAGGATTTTTCTTTTATTTTGATAGCAGTGTGAGTGGTTAGTAGTACTTGATAAAGATCTTCTCAGTGAGATGATAATGTATACTTTCCTCTAAAAACGGTGTTGTACATCTAATCTTCTGGTCAAAAGGATGGCAAAGCTTGCCAGTCATCAGAGGCCCTGCCATTTTTACCTGTTGATGATATGCTCCATTTATACTAGTTAGGTCTTGTATACAGCTAGTCATAAGGACATGGAGAACAAAGGCAAAAGAATTGTAGATAAAATTAAACCTCTTTACAACTTGCAGTCCATTGACAAATACTTGAGGCAGGCAGAGTAGGACATTCCTCAAGGAACCCACAACTGCTATAAGGTTCATGTTTTGCTAGAGGCAAAAAGCAACCTTAGTTTGACACTAGACTGACCTCCAGGATCCTGTAAGTCTTCCTTAATATATGAAAATCCTTTTGGAAACTTCCTTTATCTCTCCCCCTCCCAACTTAAAGCATATAACCAGTCGTTGTTCAAAATCACATTGCAGCTCTTGTTTGCCCACGGGTCCTGTCCCCTGCCATAATAAAAACATCTTTTTGCACTGTCTCAAGAATTCTTTTTGACCATTCACTCCCAGCCCACGTTACATCAATAGCATCAAATTTTTCACTTACACCCCTATAATGTTCACTCAATCCAGGAACAGAAGGTTTAGAGATGCCAGTAGGAATGGGTGAGCAAACATTCTTTCAAAAGATGTAATGTTTTCTCTTTGGAGTATTCCAGATGTTAAAAGGGCCAGAGGTAATGCTCCTGGCCATTAAATCCAGTTTCTTGACAGATTTTTCCTAAAGTCCTCTTGATGTCTGGATTTTTATGTTCTCTTTGCCCTGAGGATTAGGGATGGTACAGAGTGTGAAATATTAATGAGTACCCCAAAGTTTTTGCAAGCAAGTGGTTAATTTCTGCTGTAAAATTAGTTCCTTCCTCTGACCCAATCCATAAAAGAATGTCCAAACAAGGAATACTCTCAGTTATTAACTCTTCACCACTGTTGTGGCATTGGTACTTCTGGCTGGGTAACATTCAGTCCATCCACTAAATATACAGACGATAACCAAATAGTGGGAATAGCTTGACACTGGAGATAAATCTATGGAATCCATTTTGGGGTTCCATAAGGGGGAATGTGGGCCTTGGAGGATTTCCTGAGGTATGCTGGTTTCCTCCAGAAATTTGGTGAGATTTATAAGTAGTACACTGGGAGATAATTTGGTCAGAAATTTTGTGGATGCCAGGGAAGAACCAATTATCTTTTAGTTCCTTAACTATCTCCCCTCTACCCATATGTCCCATCTGATGGGATATAAGTGCAAGCCAAAAGGACAAAAGAAAGGGGGCCACAGGAGGTCTGTTTGACCCAATGTATAATCTGTCTAATTGTTTGGCACCCCTTTGTATCCATTTGTCTTTTTCAAGATTGTGGAGTATTTGCCTGAATAGTTAATAATATCAGTCAGGGATAAAAGCAGGTTTATAAATTGGGTGGAAAAAGGAAAGGAGTTCTATTTGGGGCTGCATATTTAGCAGCCTTGTCAGCCCTATTGTTCCCTAGAGATACAGTATCTGTCTCCTTAGTTTGGCTGCACAAGGAACAATAACAATTTTAGTAGGCAAGTGAATAGCTTGTATATGGCAGCAATTATATGCCCATTGGCAAGAGGAATACCAGCAGAGGTTAAGAATCCACAGGATTGTGGCAACAGCCTGATGGGCTCCAAAGCCGTATCTAGAGCTGGTGTAAATTGTGGCAGTTTTTCCTTTTGCCAGGGTTCAGGCTCTGGTAAGAGCTATACATTTAGCAGCTTGGGCTGAGAGTGTGCCTCAAGGGTTTCACGTGGGTAAACTATGGCATGGCCAGTTACTATGTTTCCCCAGAAGTTTCCTCTGTAGGAATGATCACAAAATAGAACTTAAGTCTGGGTTGTGTGAAGGGGGTCTCTAAGAGATTCCTCTCGTGGCTTCTATATTTGCAGAGCAATCCTGTGGAATGGAGTTGTGCTGTCCCTTATTAAGGATGGGATGATTGTGTAGTCAGATTTCAAGTGTTCCAGCAAGGGACGATGAAAGAGGGGTCGGATAGTAAGGGCCTGTTCATGG